GCTGGAGAAGCGAGGGAGACAGGCGGACGAGAATACGACATTTACGGAACAACAAAACATCATGGTTAGGAGAATATACTGTAGTTATCCTGCCAATTTTATGTTTACATATGCAGAAGGAAAACAGATTGTTTATGGTCTGCTGCTTCTTAACTTCCTCTTCTTCTTGTCCAAACAAATACGGGTCAATGAGCAGGATCAGACGTCTGTCACCATGGTAACTGGTGCTGTAGCAGACACTCTGTGGTCCTGGGTTACATTTTGTTGACAGAAATGGAAGGGATGCTTCCATATATCATATAAATGTGTTTGAGTAAGAATAAACAGAGCAGTAGTCTGTTAGGCTGGACCATGGTCCTCATTTTTACCCCATTTTTAGGACTCATCCAGTCTTCGCTGTCTAATACGCTGTTTCATGGTCCTTTACTCGTGTTTCTTCAGGTTGTGCTGGATCTTTTCACGGCGGGTACGGAGACCACATCCACCATGCTCCGCTGGGCCCTGCTCTACATGATCCTCCACCCGGACGTCCAGGAGACAGTACAGCGAGAGATAGACAGCGTCATCGGGCCGGACCAGGACCACTCCATGGCGCATCGCGCTCAGGTATGGACTAGTTTCACCTCAACGAAGGTATTCAACAAAACAGATACTCAAGCAAGTGGCTTGGTTTTCAAAATATATTGTGTTACGTCATACCCTAGCCCCACCAGTTCCAAGACATTCAGCAAAACCCCAAACACTTCCTAGCCTGAGTGTCAGCCTTTTTAGCTTTTGTCTGCTCCCACGATCCGCTACCAGGCCCGGTAGCGGATCGTGGGGAGCGGACTTAAAAGATTGACACTCAGGCTAAACATTTCCTGGAGGTCAGACTTGTTTTTGTAAGAACAGCAGACGAAATATTTGGTATTCCGGTTATTCTATTTTTTGTTTCTTAACATGTTTATTAGATGCCGTACACTGAGGCAACGCTGACCGAGGTGAGCCGACTGGCAAGTATCACTCCGTTCTCCGGAGCACATACCTCAAACAACGACGTTACATTCAGGGGCTACAGCATTCCTAAGGTTAGCTCCCATGTATTTTCGTGCCAGGCCCGCTCCGCTTGTATAGCAACGACTATCCCGTACCGGCCTCCGTACTTAATTCTCTCCTGACCAGCCGTACCACACACCACAAGCAACGGCGCTACCCTCAAGGACTACAATAGATATCTATTGCTTATTTTAGACAAGGTCGAAGGGGGGGGGGGGTCACGGGTTGTACATAAACAGATACAAAACAACATATACATAAAAAAAGTACATCATTAGTCCATGGGTTAGCGCTGACTAGCTATAGCCGTTAACTAGTCAGATAGACTTCCTCACTTGACATTTTTCCTACCAGTTAGTTCAAAACATGTTGACTGTCATGACAGGGCACCATCGTACTTGCAAACCTATGGGCAGTTCACCACGACCCTCGACTGTGGCCGGACCCGCACAAGTTCGACCCCGCCCGTTTCCTGGACGCCGCCGGGAAGTTTGTGAAGAGAGAAGAAGTCATACCGTTTTCAATCGGTGAGTTTATACGTGTACTACATGAAATCTGGCAGACGTCTTGGAAACGACGTAAAGCTGGAGGTCCTGCGTCTGTGGAGAGTCACACCTGGAGCACGTTAAAGATCCCACCACGCTTTAAAATTCCACCACACTTAAGATCCCACTACACTGAGAGATCCCAGCACACGTATCGAAAAGTGCAGTGGTCCTTCCCCTTATTACACATACCAGTATTTAGTGCAAGCCTAGATAAGTTATTTTGGGGCTTTCCGTGAGACATGCTAGATCTAAAACGTAGATTGATTCTCGTAGGATTTAGCTTTTTGTTTTCTTCCTTCGATATTGCAGGTCGTCGGGTTTGTCTGGGGGAACAGCTGGCCAGGATGGAGCTCTTCCTGTTCTTCACCTCTCTGCTGCAGCGCTTCAGCTTCAAGCTGCCAGAGGGCGCAGCTGTACCGTCCGAAGAAGGGGTGTTCGGATTCACGCACTCCCCCGTGCCCTTCAAACTTGTGGCGATACCAAGAAACTAGACTATGTGTACTACATATACTTAGTACTTAAGGGTCAATGCCCCGAGGTGTATATGGTGTCATAAGTATTTCCTATAACCACCGATTAAACCGCCAAGTGAGCACAGCGCCCTGAACGGTCGTCACCGGCGGTCGTTTTCATCGACGCTGATTGGTCGCGGTGTTTATGGGATTTAATCACCACTAGTAAGGGTATGGCGTCATAACCAATATGAAATGGGGCCTTCTGATTGGCCAACGTTATCTACCTATATGATATTATAAGTCATTTTACAAATTTTCTTTCACTTCAAGAGTTTTAAGCTGTCGTCAGGAGTGATCAGTTTGATTGCCTCCATGGTTCGATCTTAAACCTGTTGTGAAATGATTACTAAATTTAGGGACTGTTGGTGCATTACGCCAAAAAACAGTTACTCAAGCAACTGGATATGATTTTGAAAACGTCAGACGTTTCAGCTAGTATCCACTAGCTTTCGTCAGTGACTGAGAGACCAGAGGGGAAAGCAGGTTTATATACACAACCTGTTGATTGATATGCAAATAAAGTGAAGACAAATTTTTGGAAGTCGAAAAAGGAACAAAAGTCAGACAAGTCAAGACAAAATGATGCAAATTAGTCTGAAAGCTCCTGTTATACAGAACAGGAGCTTAAGTGTTGTCTGTCCTCGGGGCTGGGAGTGCCAAATCCCAAGTGCCGGAAAGATCGACTCGTAGCCCCCCTTCCCTGTTGAGGGTGGGGTTGTACATTCTTTCATATATTCCCTCTTTAACACCCCGTTCCCACCAGCGTGTTTCGCGGTCTAAGATGTCCGTGGACTCGAGTTTGAAAGAGTGACCCTGGTTGTGTTGTAGGTGGTGGAAAATAGCTGAGGAGTAGCCGTTGGCACTAGGTCGGCAATGTTCTTTGTATCTTACTTTGAGCGGTCGACTTGTCTCTCCGATGTAGGTGTTGTTACAATTGGGCTCCTCACATTTGAGTCTGTAAATAACATTCGCCTTGGTACCTTTGTGAGGTCGGTCCTTAGGGTGTACCAGTTTTGTCTTGACTTGTCTGACTTTTGTTCCTTTTTCGACTTCCAAAAATTTGTCTTCACTTTATTTGCATATCAATCAACAGGTTGTGTATATAAACCTGCTTTCCCCTCTGGTCTCTCAGTCACTGACGAAAGCTAGTGGATACTAGCTGAAACGTCTGACGTTTTCAAAATCATATCCAGTTGCTTGAGTAACTGTTTTTTGGCGTATCGTATTACCTGGATGTCTAACCTTCATCGACGTATGTTGGTGCATTGTTTGCCTGTTTTTAGTAAAAGGGTGATATTAGTATTATAACTTCATAGGTATATATAATATCAAGTATTACCTATGGACAGTGTGTATCATTGGTGGTTTAAAGTTGCCAGAAATAGCTTGGAATGTGATATAGGGTCATTTGAAATGATGAACCAAGTGGTTTGTAAAGGTTTATATCATAGTACTAGTATTTTATCAATCAAAATGTACCATGACCTTTGGCATAGTTCTTCCTTACACGATGGACTGACCCACTGGGACGGGGTGAAATCCTGGTTTCGTTTTGCTGAAGGTACTAGCTCAGTCTTTAAAATGCCGTAGTTGACCTTTCCACATTTTGTATCCAATTAAAGCTGAAAAATCCAACTTTGTAGGAGACTTGCGGTTAAAAGGTGCTTGTTTTTCATGATTTCACCATAGATTCCACTGGAAAGATCATTTACTGGTCTCCTGAAATAAAATGGACTCTTCCAGGTCAAGGTCAGAGTTTGTCAAAACATGCAGGTGTAAGTTTACACGCAGTCTTGTCCACAGAAGACGCCATCTTATTTCCCTGTGTACGGTGTACTTGTAAGACTACGGGAGACCCGTATCCGTTCCTCAAATGATTATCGACGGGCTGTACGACCTGTGGACCTCCTGGGGTCTGTTGGGGGTTTTGGTGGCGGCAGGTTGCTGCCTCCTGGCCGTCTGGATCATGCGGCGTCCCCCCAACCTACCCCCGGGACCGTGGGGCTGGCCGCTGCTTGGCGTTACGTTCGGTGGAAAGGTCGGCCATTTAGACTCTTGTAATAACTATCTTAAAGTTTTTGGTGAGCTGAAGGATTTATTTTCTGTTGTTTATGTCTTTATATTTGGTTATTTTAATATGTGTGTTTTTCTAGTCCTGTGTGTGTGTGTGGTGTGTGGTGTGTGAGTGTGGTGTGTAGTATAACGTTAAATGTATTTGACTATGTGTGTGTCAGAGTCTAGTCAGGTCAGGCAGTTTTCGGCATATAGATGTCTAGGCATTTGTTTATGTCTCGGGGGACTTGACCTTTGACACAGTGGGCGTGTGAAGCTCATCTGTAGGACTATTTATCCCCACAGGCAGAGCCATTAGTTGCCACCGACTGGATCCGGAAGTACGGTGACGTCATTTCCTGCTACCATGGCCCACTTCCGGTGGTTTACCTTGGCAGTTATGACGTCATCCGAGAGGCCTTAGTGAAGAACGCCGAGAACTTCTCCAGCAGACCCCCGCCTTGGAACCCGGTCGTGGCGGCTTTCAAGACTAAAGGTAGCCTCTACCAGGATTCAGAAGCGACTGGAAAGAGAATTGAACGAAATGATAGACAGACAGATGACCCGCAGATAAACATGACAGGGGAGTTGGTCCACTAGAGGAGCACAGTTGGCGTTTAGTGTGATATTTTTGACATCACTAGAGTGTTTTTTCTGCTACTTTTTCTTTGTTTATTTACTATAGATATGTATTACCTACAGGATGCCACATACACTAGAGATCATTGGTGTGTTCGTAGGTATTTGAATGCAGTTGAAAGGCACGAACTTATGGTGGGAGCTCGAGGATTTTGTAACCACAGATTAACCTTCAGTTAACTTGATAGTCTTCCTACGCAGAGTTTACTGTGTGCATACAAACTTGAGGCTTAAGCTTGTCATAAGCTTCAAAGTTTTTGTCCTGGGGCCGTTTAAAGTACGCCAAGGCAATTGTTTCAGTTCCATATGATAAAATTGAAATTTCTATCAAGCCTAGAATTCGCGTAACATTTGGTCGCTCTCTCTTGCTACCCAAAATGTTGTTCTTTCCTTTTTTAAGGACAACAATGGGAACATCAATCTTCCCACTCTTGGTTGTCTATGTCCATTTTATATCAGGTATGCTGCCCAAGATTAAAGCACCGCCACGTATATTTTATCTTCCAGGCGTCGTACAAGAGCCGTACGGACCGACATGGAAGGAGCACCGTAAGTTCACCCTGATGAGCCTGCGAGACTTCGGCGTGGGAAAGAGGAGCTTGGAAGGGAAAATTCTCGAAGAAGCCCAGGCTCTCGTGGACGAAATATCAAAGAAAGAAAACCAAGGCTTCTGCATCTCAAACATGATGCAGGTTACGGTTGCAAACGTGATCTGCTCGATCGTTTTTGGCTCGCGCTACGAGTACGACGACCCGAAATTCATAGCGCTGATGGAAGCTGTTAACATTTTGTTCTCGACTCCCTTAAGCACTCTGCGACTGGGGTTAATCCCCATCCTTCGCTACATTCCTGTCGTGAATCGGGGTTTCCTGAAGGCACAGGAGGTTACACTGCACATCAGGAATCACATTCAGGAGCAGATTCGGGAACACGAGGCGACATTTGACCCGAACGACATCCGGGACTTCATCGACGCCTTTCTGCTGGAGAAGCGAGGGAGACAGGCGGACGAGAATACGACATTTACGGAACAACAAAACATCATGGTTAGGAGAATAAAGTTATCCTGCCAATTTTATGTTTACATTTGCAGAAGGAAAACAGATTGTTTTAGGTCCGTTGCTTCTTCCTCTTCTTCTTGTCCAAACAAATACGGGTCAATAAGCAGGATCAGTCGTCTGTCACCATGGTAACTGGTGATGTAGCAGACACTCTGTGGTCCTGGGTTACAAGACAGACCTGGAAGGGATGCTTCCATATATTATATAAATGTGTTGGAGTAAGAATAAACAGAACAGTAGTTTGTTATGCTGGACCATAGTCTTCATTTGTAGGACCCACCTAGTCTTCGCTGTTTCTCCAGGTTGTGCTGGACCTTTTCCTGGGGGGTACGGAGACCACGTCCACCACGCTCCGCTGGGCCCTGCTCTACATGATCCTCCACCCGGACGTCCAGGAGACAGTACAGCGGGAGATAGACAGCGTCATCGGGCCGGACCGGGACCCCTCCATGGCGCATCGCGCTCAGGTAGGGACTAGTTTTATACAGAATACAACATAGCCCCCACCAGTTCCAAGACATTCAGCAAAACCCCAAAAACTTCCTAGCCTGAGTGTCAGCCTTTTTAGCTTTTGTCTGCTCCCACGATCCGCTACCAGGTCAGGTAGCGTATCATGGGGAGCGGTCTACTAAGAAGATTGACACTCAGGCTAAACATTTCCTGGACGTTAGACTTGTTTGTGTAAGAAGAGTAGAAGAAATATTTGGTATTCTGGTGATTGTATTTTTTGTTTCTTAATATATTTATTAGATGCCGTACACCGAGGCAACGCTGACCGAGTTGAGCCGGCTGGCAACCATCACTCCCCTCTCCCTAGCACACACCACAAGCAACGACGTTGCATTCAGGGGCTACAACATTCTTAAGGTTAGCTCCCATATTTTTCATGTCAGGCTTGTATAGGTCAAGCAACGATTACCTCGTACCGGCCTCCGTACTTAATTCTCTCCTGACCAGCCGTACCACACATGTACACCACAAGCAACGGCGCTACTTTCAATGACTACAATAGATCTCTATATCCCTATATGGCTTATTTTCGACAAGGTTCAAGGGTTGTACATAAACAGATACAAAACAACAAATACATAAAAAAGTAGGTTAGTAAATTGTACGTCATAAGTCCATGGGTTAGAGCTGACTAGCCATAGCCATTAACCAATCAGATGGACTTCCTCTCTAGCTCTTAACATTTCATGTACTAGTTATTAATTAGTTCAAAACATGTTGACTGTCATGACAGGGCACCATCGTATGGCCCAACCTTTGGGCGGTTCACCACGACCCTCGGCTGTGGCCGGACCCGCACAAGTTCGACCCCGCCCGTTTCCTGGACGCCGCCGGGAAGTTTGTGAAGAGAGAAGAAGTCATACCGTTTTCCATCGGTGAGTTTATACGTACAGGATGTGAAGTAGACACCATAACCATCGGCGAAGCTTGGAAATCCAGGTAATGAGTTAGCATACATACACAAGAAAACATTTACTCAAGCAACTGGATACATTTTGAAAACTGTCTGACGTTTCAAGTAGCATCCAGTACTTTTCGACAGTGCATTGCTGGTGGATGCTACCAATTTTGTATCCAATTAAAGTTACTTGAGTAACTGTACATGTTTTCTTTGGAAGATAGCATAAACTTCCTCAAAGATCAAACTTTAAATAGTGATCCTTTCATCATTGCAGGTCGTCGAGTTTGCCTGGGGGAACAGCTGGCCAGGATGGAGCTCTTCCTGTTCTTCACCTCTCTGCTGCAGCGCTTCAGCTTCAAGCTGCCAGAGGACGCAGCTGTACCGTCCGAAGAAGGGGTGTTCGGAACCACGCACTCCCCCTTGCCCTTCAAACTGGTGGCAATTCCGAGAAATTAGACTTTAAGCATTACATATGCAATATTCATTAAGGGTCAATGACCCGCCCCGAGCTGTATATAGTACTTCCTATAACCACCGATTGAACCGCCGAGTGAGCACAGCGAACGGTTTTCATCCGTCGACGCTGATTGGTCAAAGTGATTATGGTATTTAATCACCCCTCGTCAGGTTATGGCGTCATAACCAATATACAATTGGGCCTTCTGATTGGTTAATGTTATCTGCCTATATTATAATGTATACACATATGTTATTACATGTATAGGGATGTAGGGGGTATTGTTATTATAGGGGTGTTGGGGGATATTGCCAAAGAAAAAATATTATTATACCAATTTTCTTCCACTTTGGGTGTTTTTAGCTTTCGTCATCAGTTTGACTACCTACGGTTTATCAGCGCAAATCTACTTTTCAATAACCCGTGCCTGACGTTGCAAAGACGTGGAATAGCGCCACTGTCGGTTAGTTTATGTACCACACGCTGCCTTGTATATAGCAGGTGGTTGGTGAGGAGCATACATAACGGGCTGAGGAAACAGTCTGTTTTGTTAGCAAACGTTAGCCATATCGCATTACGGTAGTATTGTCTCACCACTGCCCCACTTAAAGAGTTCTTTCTACCAATAACATGCTCTGAGCCATTTGTGTACGTAAAAGCCGCACTGTTGTTAGTGTTTGAGTACGCCAGAAAAGGGCGGCACACACTACAGTTTACATGTACACGGGGCATCTCGGGTTGCGCTCAACACCCGGGCCTCTCAGTTGTCGCGTTCGCCCTTCTTGTAAACAGAGCGAACGCCTGGCACTATTATAGTGCGGGATGTGGGACGAGGTTGGTTTTTCCTCGGCGGGATTTTGTTGCGGTTAATTAGTTTCAGCTTCAGCGATACTTTTGGTCACCGCGGTGTAACGTATTAAAGTGATCATGATACAACGCCTTCACCTATTACCACCCCCACTGCGATGTGCCCTATCAATGTAGCCTTGCTTACAGTAGCCTGGGTGCCACGGTCTATACAGGCCAGCTACTAGCCTCCGGGGCCAACATGCCCGCAAGCAAATTATACCACGGCACCCCTTTGTTAGGCCCTGAGTGACTACCGTTAGTAACGTTAGTTAACTCTGGGCCTAGCGTCTGGCATCCAGGCTATGCTAACAGGCCATGTGTAATGGGAAACTCAGCGAAAAATACGTGGATGATGTTTTGCAGCGATGGCCAGGGATAAGTGTACTGATCGATTCTAATAATGCTGCTTGTATGATACTAGATAAATGGAACATAATTATTAAGTGATACCTATTGTCATAGTCAGAGATACTGCAAAAGTATTAAAAGAGGACAAAAGGCAAGAAGGCTTTCCTTGGTTGAAGTTTGCTATATACAAAAATGTATGACAATACAGTTTGCAAGTAACAATGCAGCATCATAATGTAGGTGAGAAGTGTAACTAGTTTGTAATTGCACTACTTGAAGTGCAATTTTTGACACGCTGGTCGATGAGACGTGATATTTCTCTCTTCTCTTTTATCAGTGAAGGTTGCTACAATGTACTTGCCATATTGTCCCGACTACTCTCGAGTAAAGGCCACAAGGTCCCACAACGCTTCTCCGAGGCGACATGCCCCTGACGCGGCCGCTGTTGAAATAAGCACACAGCAAACACGTTGACTACGTCACCTTCCTTAGGCGCAAACATTGCCCTCTTTCAGAATTTACAACAGTTGTCTGAAACGTAATTGAAATTGGCTGGAGATTTATGGAGAGGCACACAACTTCGCAAGACGGCGGCCAAACAACTTTTCTGTGTTGAATGGCAAAGTTCTTTATTCACAACCACTTGTTAAGCAAACGCCGACGTTTCGATGACCGTCTGTCATCTTCATCAGGGCAGTTATGACAGGTTCACTGTGCACTGAAGCTATGTGTAGCATTCTCCAACCTGTTGAAATTATTTACGAACTTTTCTGTGCGATCGAAATGTGCATCTTGAATGACTGACGTGTATTTACATGGTCTCTTCAACGCACGGTCAAGTCAACTGGTGGTGGTATTGTGAACATGGTTCGCTTGGTTGGACGTCAGATTGTGGAATTTGTTGTAGTAAGCAGGGAACGTAGTCCACTGAAAAAAGGCATGGAAATAATTTCCACGGACTTGGATGTGCCTCTGTGAAACTGGGCATTTCAAATAATTATGAATGAATATTATTACAAATGGTCATATGTTGGTGTAGGTTGTTGTACGATATTGATGTTGTAGACTGTTCAAGCAGGTTGTGACATTTGAAGTTGAAGAATTCGTTTCTGCGTTTTTCTACAGGGCGCTGGTTGGGGTGGGGTACATTTCTGAACGTGACTTTGATGTTTATTTGAATATGGACGTCATCAGTGAGAAAAAAGGTTCTAGTATACAATGATTTAGGAGGCAATTTTTAAGACTTTGGCAACGGAAATGAACAGTTTCCCATGTGTTAGTTATAGGTTTGCCATTTTGAGGGAGTAGCTATTGTGTAAAAACGTGCCTCTGGGAGAATTCCAAGCCAAAGAAGTTCAAATTTATACGTGCTATTTTGGGGACGTGACGATCGTGTAGAACGTGATGTACCCTACGCTGGCTAATATTAATAGGGATGATGATTTTATAGGGACTTTTGGCTACCAGAGTTGTTTGGAAACGTTAACTTTCCCGTTGACTGACTCTCCTGGCTAATTATTTTCCTTATTTGACTCCTACGATCCGTACTCTCGTACAGAAAGGCCTGGTGGAGGCTAGGCCTTGATGGTGAGAGAGAGTTTTCAACAAACTACTAAATAAAAACTAATGTTAATTTTCCTCGTTACCAAGCATCGACATGAAGTTGTACAATGACGTCGCCATACGTCATGACTAGGCCAATGACCTTACAGTCGCTTGCAAGGAAAAGTTTATTTAATGCGAAGTTAAATTAGTCACGGTGAATAGTAATCGTGTAGCACAGCCGTTTTCCTACTATAAAGATCAAACTCGGTCTTTCTTTGCCTAGCCTACATTGGGTGTCATCGCCACTTTGCCCGTATTTACGCACTTTGACGGGCGCCTCAGTGGGTCGTTTCATATTACAAATTCACTATTTGATAAACATTTTAACTTGCCGACGCTGTGGGACCGACTTGAGTTGTGACTTGATTTTTTTCACTCTGTCGACAAGAAAGATTTCAAGTGTTTCACGTGGTTTGTGTCGTGGGTTTTGTAGTTGTAGAACGTCCAGAAGGGAAGGAAGTGATCATGACGTTCTAGAACGCCGTAACCCTAGGAGACCAGTCACGTGGCAGATCAAACAACATGTTGGCACGCACGAGTGCGGGGGTAGTGCAAGTGAGTAGGCGCGCGTAGGAAAAAAACTACAAACGTACGCGGCGACTCGGACATCCTTTCTACGATGATTTCGTGACAGAAACCCAGGCTGAAATGAGCGGAAACATCGTTCTACCGAAGCTAGCGGTCTTTGGGCCGCAGAAAGAGGGAGAGGGGGACGCTATAGGGCGACAGAAACAACGGCGGGCGAAATACTCCAAACGGGTAAGTACTACATTTCAGTTGCTACATATCTTCACTGAAAATAGCACAAGGAATATAAAATCCTTTTCCAAAAATATTATATCACAAATTTTTAGTCACACAACCTTACGCAGGGTGTTAAGAGTGGGATTTTAGGCCACAAAGCATATTTTGTCAGTCCGCAACTGAAAAGATGACATGTCAAGTGAGCAAACTTTTCCTTGGCAACGCTGTGTCGTTTGGAGATGCACCGAAGCGTGAAGATGTGCCTCTATAAACTAAATTGGCGTCTGGAGAAACCTTTATAAATACATCCTCTGTTTTGTGTATGTGTTTACGTGTAATGGCTTCTGTATAGGACAAGAAGTATAGAGTGGTTACTGGTACGAGTATATACAAAAGAATGCCCAACATTTGTGCTGTTTTAATACTGAGATAATATTGACGTTTAGTTGCGGAGAAGCATTCTGTAGTGCCTATACTGTGTATCTTAAAGGTTAAGCTCTGTTAAATATCGTTGAAGCTTTCTGTCACCATACGAAGTTTTAGATCTAATTTCTGGTCTTCTTACTCACTATTCTACATTGTATTTCTACATACTGATTGTAACATAGTTAACAAATAATGTACTGTTCACTCACACTAATGTTTAAACAAAGATAGGTTGGGAATGTGAGCTAGACGTTAAATACGAATACATCAAGATAAAGTATACAGCTTACCCAGCTCTGTTTATACGTTACTTTGGTGTTTATCAAACTGTGGAAACAAATGACGATTTCTTATAACAACTGCCCTGTCTCTGTTAAACACACACAACCGCGGAGGTAGTCCACATAAACCATTTATTAAATCAGGCAGAAGAGAAGTAGTATTCGTTCGCACGATATCGGTCTGCGATCAAAGCGAAGCATAGTTGCCAATGAAGTGCACAATATATAAAACACTGATACCTTTACGATACAAAATTTGTGGGATAGTTGTAAATATTTCGTGCATTGACAAATTCCTCGTACGATCGCGATAGGATTACGATATAGAAAATTCAATTCTTAGTATCGGGACAGTCGCGTATGCATCGTACACCAACATATTCGTACACCGATAGGTTTGCGGCAACAAAAATCAAGGAAAGTTGTGTTCGTGGATGTGTTGTAAAAAAACTTCAGCTGTCTTGCGACGAAAGAAAGATTGTCGTTGATTCGTCTTGACTGTGTTGATTCATTCTTTGAAAGCCTCGCTGAACACCTGACGCAAAAATTACTTAACCGTACAACAAATGTACACACAAGCGGACCACTGACAACATTAAATGCTCTATCAGTCGTCCCGGGTGCGTTCGCAGAAGGGAAGGTATTGTGTGCCTGTGTTATCGGGCAGATCGGACGCGATAACGCCTTATTACATCAGGCAATAGTAAAGTATATTTACACTGCGTCTGATAGGTCTGTCATTGCGGATTGAGTGGTCGTTAAAAAGAATACACCGACCAAATATGTACTCACAAAGAAGAGGACTCATTATACGTAATAAAAACTTGATAGTTTTCTTTCAAAATTGTATACGGAGACTGTTAGATGCAATGACTCTGATAAAATATGTAACCTTTCGCCGGTAACGTGTTTATTCAATCCGTGAACCCCTCAAAAAGATGTTTGCTTTGTAACTCGTATATTTGAACATCACAAAACCAATTCCCAAATTCAGGAATATAAAAAGAAAACTACAATAAATGTTCACCCGAAATCAAGACAAGTTTATCTTAAGGCTTAGCCGGATTTTGTATTTATATTTGAAGACGATGTTGTCTCTCTCTCTCGAGAATCAGAAAGCTAAAAATGGCGGCATTGTTTCGTGGTGTCACTCCACAAGTCGGTCGTTTTGTCACTACGTTGGACACGCTGTCAGGGGGCTGTGGACACACCGTAAGGACAAATATTGACGGAGCAGACTGTGTCTAAAAACCCTGTCAGGGCCGCGGTGAATAAATCTCACCCGGGAAGGTTTACAATGTGTCGAGTAGAAAGAAAGAGTCTCGGGTATGTGCCGAGGTCACGCGAAAGACATCCAGGAGGACACGAAGACCCACGAAGAACGACGCGAAAGATCACATGCAGTGTTGTCGTAATGAAAATGTATCTAAACCAACCAACTGCAAATAGTACTAGCTCCTTTTATACTATACGGATATGCCTGAAAGAGATCAGTAAGCTGTTCTCTATCCCTTTCTAGCCTGGCACAAGTTTTATAAAGTATTACCTCCGGCTCCTTTGTCGCTATCCCCTTACTACGGAGGATGATGGCAACCAGCTGACTACTAGTATCCCTTTTTGGAATCGCGCGGGCGAAAAATACGCTCGATTCTTTGGCGGTTTTAAAATCAGGCAACCTTCTGGTAGCGATCAACGCACTCGGCCGAAGGTCGTTGCCAGTGTGACGCACGGAATTCATAAATCGTCAGTTGATAGTTTTATGATACGGAGTTTTATAACGCTGTCCTGATACCACAGCTAGCTATAGATAGCATCAAGTGATCTCTGAGTGTCCCAAATAAGATAGATGCTTTTGCATAACCGTCATGACAGGAAATTACGCCCATAAAACCCTCTAATCGCGATACTCGTTTACGACCGATTTGATATCATGAGAGTCAAGTGTTTACATCAGTCAAACATTGCGTCATCACTACCCCCTGTGGTCTCAGTAAACGCATTCCCAAGATGCCGTTGGGTCATTTCCGGTCGTTTAATCATTGCTCGGATGTGACTTGGGCAATTTCCGGTGATCATGTTCAATCAAAGTTCAATGTTATGATATTGATAATAACCGGATGTGACGTGTTATTTCCGGTGTTCTCGTGGACTGGATGATAGAATCAGACCTAACAAAATACTCAAGCAAGTCTTTTGAAAAAAAGTGTGTTATGCTTATTCCATCGAAAATTTTCAAAGAAATATTTTGCTCCGTATTACACTCGTACGTCCCTTAGAAAAGCCCAACACTATTAAAGGTCTTCGTGAAATCAACACGTGCAAAACACGTTTGAGGTCAAGTTGTCTATAAACAGTATGATTGTTTTCTCGTGTTGTCGTGGACTCTAACTTGAATGAGCTCGATTCATGTTCTATAATGTTGCCCTAACATGCCTCGAGGGCTACGTCATTAATTTTAAGGACCCAAAAGATAAAGAGACTGTTGATATAGCTTTTTCTTGGCTATTTCAAACGTTTCAAGTGTGAAATGTTGACAAAAATGTGCAGAAATGGCAGTAAATGTCAATATCAGGCAGATTTCGGCATCCAGAATATTTTTGTTTTGCCTCCATGAAATTGCGTTGGATGCCTTTATTCATTTCATTCCCTCATTCCTTTAATTTGATTTGATTCAATCCCTCATTGTTTCAGCGCGCCAGTGTGCTGCCCAGCGTGCCACCAGCTGGTCGGACCACGCACGGGAAGTCCACCGCGGTAGAACCGACAGCGTCATCCCTAAAGATCGACGTGCGGCACAGCGGAGAGTTCCTCCCGACCGTACAGGAGTCCAGACATGCGGGGCCGGGCACGGGAACGACAGGGATGAAGAATAAGGTGAGTACAAGATGGGCAAAGAGAGGGAAGTGACAGAAAGACATAAAAAGAATGAACAAAAGGGAAACAAGGAAAGGAAGGAAAAGAGAAACGATGATCAAAATGATCAGATATACCAAGGAGGTTATAGTGAAACTACTTGGATATACAATACAGGAAGAAGTGAAAGGAGAGAAAAGAAAAAAGAAATAAAGAAGGAAAGAAAACATAAGCCTGAAAACATAATGTTGGTGGTTCGTAAGTCTTAATTGATCTTCGGGCCTCCAGTTTTTTTATGTTACCCTCGCCTATTATTTGTGTCCAGTTCCTGGCGTTCCTGTACCTGCAACACGCCGTATACGGCACCGATACGTACGGGCAGCGGGGCAGAGCGATCCGGGACCGGACGGACAAAAACAATCTCTCGGTGGAGGGGACGGACATGCGACTGCCGCCGCCTAAAGCACACACGGAGCCCCGCAGGAAAAGCCTCCTGGTAAGCCACTGTTGTATCCAGAAACATGCAACCAGAACCGTAAGGTCTGCTTGGAGATTAATAAATTGACTTGAAATATAACGGTGATCGGAAGTACCCACCTTTTTTCTGGAACCCGAACTATGTTCGATGTGACCAATTGGCAATTCGAACTGAACCCGTGTGCCATTTGGGGTCACCTGCGATCACTTACTACACAATACAATAAAATTCTCAGCCAGGCCCTTTCCGGGATCCCCTCCATGATTCGTATCAGAAAATATATATTTCCATTTCAGAATGTCAAATCCACGTCTACGGTGTCGACGTCGTCTGACGCTAGCCTGGAAACCCAGGCCGCTGAGGTTGACGACCCAGAGGCTGTGGAAAAAGGGCTGAAGACTCTAATGAACATACACAGCATGGGCATCCCTATAGAGGTTTGTTATCATCATATATACATCAACACATTTTTCTCGTCTTTGATACTTTATTAAAGATAGACTATTGGACCTTTTCCCGCATCGGGTAACTGAATATATATCTTTTGTATATTTTCACAGATTACGAACAAAGACTACGTCCCAGGCGTCATCTGCCGGCCGCTGTTCCACTGCGCACGCTGCAGAGACGTCTGGAACAGGCTAGGGGAGGTGCCAGAGAGCTGTGACCAGCCGTCGCGGCCTGTGCGAGGCATGGCCTTCTGGCTAACACGGGAGGCCAGCGCCGGGCTGCTACAGGTCAGACTTTTAATATCTGTCTTTTTGGCGACACCTCAAAGGCGAAGCCGTTGCTACGATTTTCGTCTGAACTAGAAAATTTGTTTCTTATTTTTGTCCGAAGTAGGATTCACTGGTATGACATTACAGTGCACTTGATATGTACTTTGAACAATTTCGTCTATAGAATAAGTAAATTACACTGGGATCGGTGATTTTGTGTTACCAATTGTATGGATGGAGAGTCAGACAGAATCATTTTGAATGTTCTGTTGAGTCTAGATGGTTCATACCAAGTGTTGTACTTGCAGGGAGTGGACCCAAAGTCACAAGCCATTCGCATGAAGGCAGGCCGACATGGCGAGAAACTGTTGCTGATGGGTGCAACGACCGTAAGTTTTTGTTGTTTTTGGTTCGTTTGTTGTGTTTGCTATGGGGAATTCAGAAAGACAAGGATGCAATGAAATACACACCAAAACTGGTGGCAGCGGTGGGATTGTGATCAAATCTGAACTTCTAATCCTGGCCATGGGTCTCGTCGAAATGCAACAAAAAACTAGAAAGGTAACCACTGTTTAGTCCAACAAACTAGCTCTATTCATTACTCAAACAGATTCATATATCTGGTGACACAGTCCAACTCTGTCCGGCTATTGCTGCATAATGTAACCCAACACCACAGGGTGTCTGCTACAGCACCAGCACCCTGGAGACAGACGTGTTGTCCAGGTCATCGACCTTATGTGTCAGAGCAAAAACAATAACTTTTCCTCCTGCGAAGGCAAACATACTGTAAATCTTTCGCGCTCTGAGAAAAATGCGAATATATAAAGGGATTTACAGTAAGTAACTAGTACAATATATGATTTTCAGGGTAGCCACCGCCTGCTGTACGACGACGAAGCCTCGTCCCTGCTGAGCCTCCTGAGGGACCTGCGGAACCAGGCTGCGGCCAGGCGGGAGGAGGAGGAGGAGGATGACGACTACTGGAGCTACGGAACCGACGAGTTCAGCGAGGAGGATCTGGACCTCGGCGACGACGGAAAAGATGGTACGGTTGCATTGTGTACTAATGATGACTAATCCAAGACTGTTAGGCTCAGCGGAATAGTAGGCTACCATAGTGTGCAAAACTATTGAACGAAGGATGGTGTCGACGTATGTCCTGGTGTTGTTTGCCAAGACCAAACATAGATAGGTAAACTGTAGGTTAAGTTTATTATCACTTTTTTTATGCAAACACATGACAGCAAATTGGTCTTGAATGTTATATAAAAATATACATTTCGAGAAAGAAATTGAAAAGTCTTTTGTTGATGCAGGTGCAACAATGAGACCTTCCCACCGGAAGGAGGGTCGGAGAAGAGCACAGAAGGCGTCTGTGCGGCGCAGGGGGAGTCTGGAGACCGCTCCGGAGTCGCACGCCAGCAGCCAGGACAGCGGCTTCGCCAGCCAGCAGGGGGGCGGCGCCGGACACGGGCTCCTCCCGATGCTGCTCCGGATCCTGGAGAGGGACTCCCGCCCGGGGTCCACCAGGGTTCTCGGGGACTTGGACGAGCGGCAGTTGGTGTTGCAGCTCCTGGACGCCAGCGACGACATCGACGACGCGGCCTGGGCCGAGGAAGGTGCACACTTCTTGAACTCGCTGAAATCGAACCACGTCGTCAGGTTGACGCCCAACAACCTGCCGGCGCTGCTCGCGGAGATCAAGCGGGGGACGATCGCGGTGCAGACCGGGCCCGACGGCGGGATTCGGCTCGGCACCTACGGGCCGGACGGCGTCTTCGTCCCGTTCGAGGCGAGCGACGAGGACGGCCGGCCGATCTCCGAACAGTTTTCGCGGATGCTGGAGAGCACGTTGACGTCCCAGCTCACGCAGGTTCTATCATCCGGCGGGTCCGTGGATCCAGACTCTAAGGGCGCCGCGGGTCTCCTGAAGGCACTCATGAACAACAGTGATCTAGCGTCCTCGGACGTACCGGACATTGTGAACAAACTACGAGAACACCTCACCGACGACAAGCAAACAAGAGTAGTAAAGGAAGCGCATCCCGAAACTGCGTGGATGGCTGATTTCATGATAGACATGATGAAGGCCATTCTAAAAGACGGCAAGCTACTTACAGAAGACGAAGTGAAACAAGTCTTAAAGTCACAAGGAAACGAAAATTTAATATTGAGACGCCTTTCAGACGGGAGACTGTACTTTGGCGTGAAAGATCCCAATAATGGTGAATTCGTGCCTTTTGGAACGTATGGAGAAGACGGGGCATTCTACTTTGGCGCCATGGACGGAAATGGAAAGTTCCAACTGACGGGGAGGGTGGACAGCACGGGCAACTTCGAACCGGGCGTTGTCAAGGACGATGGACTATTCCATGTGGTGGAGGAGGGGGTGAGTGAGGCCATGGCTTCCGTCATGTCTAAATTGAAAGGTCAGCCGGGATGGTTGAAGCAGTACGTTGAGACGAAGATCAGACGACAAGAAGTGGTGGTTCATATGCCGGACAACGACCTTGGTAAGCAAAATATTATCTTTATTATCATTCTCATACAAGCTGGTCTTTGGGAAATGTTTCTTTCTTTTATTGTCTGGTCTTTTCGTTATCTTGGTGATGAACACAGCACACATTGTTCTTACAAGAGTCACTGATCAAGGCTGTCGTTTCGCAGATGTGACGGGGGAGGGCGCCGATCTCGGCAACGAAGAAGATACAGGCGGCACAACTGGACGACAGAAGCGGAACAAAGACGATCCTCTGTACGACATCCGGCCGGCTGAAGGGCCGACCACGTCCGACCTGAGGCAGCAGTACGACCCGTCCTCGTATGAGCCTTTCCAGAGAGACGCCAAGGGACAGAAACCGACGGACGGGCAGACCGACGCACAGACCGGCAAGGGTCAGGAGGGTCGCACGAGCACCACCCAAGACGCCGCGGAAGTCGCGGCGGGCGGCTTGAAAGGAAGAAGCGAAAGTTTCATGTCAAGTAAAGAATCCAGCTCCTTGGAACCACGTCTTGAAGAGGGTCACAAGGTAATGATAGGGTCCAAGACCGTTAAGACACTGCGGCAGGGCAGGAAGACGCAGGACAAAGAGAAGATTAAGAACAAGTACGTGAAGAACAGGACGGGGAAACCCGACACACAGCCGGGCAAGCTGGCGGACTACCCGTCCACGCCTGCGCAGGACACAGGCACGCCCTCATTGGTCAGCCGAGAGGGCACGTTTTCCAGCATGGTCGGATCGGAGGCGAGCATGTCTGAAGGACTGATGCGGCAGCGACGAGTGTCGGTATCCTCCAACAAGGACAACTCGGCTGCAGCTGGAGTGGCTAAAGGCTCGGACAGTCGAGCCGTTCATTTGGGAACAGACGCCAGAGATGGCCTAGCCGTACAGACCGAGGGGACGGGGGCTCAGGACTCGCCGTCACGGAAAAGGCGGGAAATCGTCAAGAAAACAAAAAGACTATCGAATCAAGCAATGAGATATCCCAACAGGGCCAACCAGCGGGATGGCATGGACAGTGATCATGACATAGATAGAAATGGAATGGCTGGTTCGCAGCAGGACTTAAGACCTGGAGAGAAACTCGCCTCGCTGTCCTACAAAGTCGGAACAGATCTATCCAGTGAGAGATTGAAAACGATAGGTCTTGAAGGGGATGACTCTCAGTCTTTGCCCGCTAGGGGGCTTGCACCCCTGCCGAAGTCGGTAAAGAGGGCCAGCGATGTACAGGACATGGTCTCACCGACACCGTATTTTCCCGATCCCAAACGGAACACTCTCCCACCGATTCCCACGGTGGATAACGCAGGCAGGGTGTCTAAGAGCCCCGGCAACCGTAGACCCATGAGTTCGCTAGCGGTCACGCCCCTCGCGAGCACCACCGAAGGCGACCTGGACAAGGCAACGGACTTTACCGTGTCAAACAAAGTAGGGTCGGCGTCAGAGTCGATAAATTCCACCGAGACGGAGTCCGGAAGCAGCGAAAGTTCTTCGGAATCGGAGTTCGAGTCTGTCTCGAGAAGAAGGCAGCGTCAGAAGATGGACTTGCCCGACCTGGACGGCATCTCGGCGCTCTCCTTCACCCGCGCCTTCACCTACTCGTACCTGCCGCTCCCCCTAGCGTACCGGGAGAGGAACAACAAGCTGAGGGCGCGGGCGGCGCTTTTCAACCAACTGAAGAAACCGATCAGGCCGGCAAAGAAGGCAAAACAGGACATTGGTGTCAGCACTACAGGCACGCAGGTAGACAAGAAACAAAAAACGGAAAAGAAAAACAAGTCTAAAAGATGACATGCACCATGAACAAAGAGAAGACTATGTATATATTATGCACCTAACAAGTTTATATTATTTGTGCAAAAACATTCTAGATGCACTAATCCATCCACATCTACTTTTTTGATCATGAAACTACCATATCCTTCTGTCAATTTATGATATAGTATACACTACAGTGTTTACTGTAATTAGTGTCGACCCTTCGCTTGATGCCAAACGAGTACTTTGATTTTATGCTGAATCACGTCTAACTACATCAGGCTATTTCACCGTACCAATTGAGCAAGTGCTGTTGTGATGCATTGTGGGCAAAGGTCAAAGTTTGGTTTGCTTTAAACTTGACCTTAGATCACAATGCTTCACGATTGCACATGCGCACTTGGAACGGTGAAACGGCTTATTAAATCAATCAAAATGTCCTACCGTGTATGTAGCTCCAGTGCTTCCCATGTTAGGTGTAGATAAATGCAAAGAGGAACTGTTGGAGTAAGAAGTGGCCCTCACCACCTCTTTATTGTGCAACAAGTTTACGAATAAAATGTGCAATTAGTTTCCGTACTATGACGTGTATGTTATGAATAATTGATAAACTAGGATCCACGGTGCAAGTGTGTTTCGTTTGGAAAGGAATACTTATATGAGCCTTTTTGGTAACATCTACCAGCCTCATTTGGTTGCTGTAAAAAATAAAAAATAGATTTTGCCTGATAAGCCGATGCATGGTTTGAAGTACACCTGGGGTATGCGAAGGTAAAGCTCCCCTTGCCATCGCCCCCGGCTCAGCTGGCAGCTCTCCAAATATCATCACATCAAGACTCCAAAAATGTAGACAATTGACCCCCTAAAACTATATTTCGAGAAAGATATTCACATTTACATCGTAGGAGATTCCCCCACTACAATGTATGAAATATTTTGGAGTTTGATAAAACTTTGGACAATGTTGATCATTGATGAACTCCGAGTAACATGGTATCAGTGCTCCACCTAGCGGCGCTTGTAGTCATTTCATATTTTCACATCATTGTATATATCAGGTATTTCTCGGTGTATACTCCATTTCATCTGTGGGTCATCTGAACAATGAAGCAATACAGCTCGAAAGTCAGCTGCAGTATCTACGATAGCCGCTAGAGGGTCCAAAACTGTAGTCATGTGTTAGGTAGGTAAAAAACGTAACCACACGCCAACAATCCGGCCATCTAAATAAATAGGCCGTTATACGTTCTTCAGCTAGCCTCTACCAGGCTTCGGGAAGCGGCTGGAAAGAGTAGAATTGGCCAAAGTAACTGATGATATTGCAATGGCAAACTGTTCTCTTAAGAAAAATAACACCGGACCAACTCGCAGGGCATGTTACATTACAATTTTACTAGCTCTTTCCAGCCGCTTCCCGAAGCCTGGTAGAGGCTGGTAGAGGCTAATGTTCAACTGCAAAACCGACTCGCTAATCTCCAAGCAGATCCTGCGGTTACAAAGCCAAGCAGTGTCTGTTAGCAAGTAGCCATTAATTAGCTTTTGGTGACTAATGGTCACAGCTTGGCCAATGGTTACTGCCTTGCCTCGGAGGATCATTATAACACAGGTAAAACTCAGTGAATAGTTTCGTATACTCGCGTGAAATTTGGTGTCCACTGGAGACACCAACCACAACATGAAATCCCTGATGCCTCACAAAACTGTCTGTGGGGTCGGACAAGAAAAACATGACACGGATCACAGTCCCACGGGACTTCTTACCAAATGGGGTTTTCCGTCATCTAGTTAGGGACTAGCCATTAACTGTATCGGCGGGGTTGGCGCTGGGGCCTGTGAGAACCAAGTCGTCATTGAACATTGCTGGTGGACACAGTTACTAAGGTGCAGCTACAGGGGAAACGTAACAATATAACTGTTACCTATAACAAGTCGTTCGGTCAACTGGAAATGGAATTTTGGACTGTCCGTCAATTCATAATCGTCTTGTGTGACGTCTTGTGTGTTCAATGACAAGTCTGGGATATGTGGATTCCTCCATCCCTTCGAAGATAAAATGGACGGTCCCCTATCTAGCACAGTAAGTGTAGAGGAGGGGACGATTCAGTGTAAGTGCTGACAGACACAGGCAGGGCGAGCTAATGTGTACGTGCAGCCGTGTCCGTGTGTATATATATATATATATATAGAAGACTGTTAGACTCCGTGTGTGGGTCTTTAGTTCAGCAATAGATATATCTAGAAGGGGAGTGCGGAAGGTTTCTTCGATCTGGGCTGACCTGCGGAAAAATGTCATCTTCTCGGTTGCCAAGTCTTGTGTATGCCTAAAAAAACGCCCGGACCAGTCGTCAAATATGTTCGCGTGGCTCTTTTGCTCCGCGCGGGACGTGGAAGGTTCCCGGGTCCTTTTCTCAAGTACGTTCCTAGCGAGATGTCTGTTTGCTTTCCTGGCGTGTGAACGTGCGGTGACCGCTGGCGGCGGGCAGAACGGGAAAGCCGGGCCGGGGAGCGGCGCGTTCCGAGCCGGCGGGCTGTACCAGGCGTCCCGCCCGAGACCCGTCCTCGTGCTCGGCGGCACAGGCTTCGTCGGCGGCACGGCGGTCCGACTCCTCATCAAGTCCGGGGAATTCGACGTCACGGTCGTCACCAGGGGAAACTGGCCGTGGGATTCGAAGGCGCTGATTCAACCCCACGTCCGCCACGTCGTCTGCGACCGGACGTTCGCGTTCGGACTCTCCGACTGTCCGGCCTTGACCCTCATCCTCAGGAACACCACCTTCGAGGCTGTGCTGGACTTCAACACGTTTTCCGGAGAACAGATGCTGGATTCCGTATCCGTCGTGAAGAACAGGGTTTCCGGATTCTACCTGTACGTTAGCAGTGATTCCGTGTACGACGTCTGCGACAGACGACACCTCGGGCCGACGCGGGAAACGGACGCCGTGAGGCCGAAGGTCAGTCTGTGTAGCCGCTACCAGATCCTACCAGGCTCCGGGAAGCGGCTGGAAAGAAGAAATTGGCCAAATAGAGAGATAACATGCCAGCGGAGATGGTCCGCTTAAGAGTACAGTTTGCCGAATTTGTATTATTTGGCCAATTTCTACTCTTTCCAGCTACGTCCCGAAACCAGGCCTCAGATTAAGCCTGTGTGTCTTTATCAGAACTTGCCAATCTCCAAGCAGATGTTGTAAGAGAAAAAAATCACCGTTTTCTTGCTGATTTTGAAACGTTGCCATATTTTTTCCTTCCCAACATATGTTCGGAGGCAAGTTATTTGCCAGCCCGAGTTGGCCGGTGCGCCTTATTATTGTCAGCTTGAATTGGTCCAAATTGGTTAAATCCAGGCCACCGACTTGTAAGGTCAGTAGGCTGAAGTCTTTAATGCGCTATGCAGGTCATTCTGGCCTTGCATGTTGTTTTCATAACATCGCCGTAAATTAAAAACACTCTTTCCACCACGGCTATACATGTAATGTTCAATATGTGCGCAAAACTCGACTTGCAAGCTTTGCGTTTTGTGCCTACTTTCTTTGAAACATATAAACATTTGATTGAATGTGAATTTTTTTTACGAAAAAAATTAGTTTCACCGCGAATACAATAGTCCTAGTGTTACGCCTCTGTGAATCGCGGAACGACAGTTTTATTTTTGCGGTTTTCGTGTTGACATCTCCACCATGAATTTATGACACCGTGACTAGGTCTTCCTTGTAAAACTACCAGTGGACCACAGAATTGTCTCCACAGTGAAATAACACCACCGCGAAAGTAAATGTATTTACAGTACAGAACTGTACTTCAAACAGCGGCCACCCTGGTTGACTGCTTTTCTTCTGTCAAACCCGCTCCAGAGTCTCTGTTTTTCCCCAAACTGTTATTCGGAGAAACCGCAGCTGCCAGCGTTCACTTTGGTCGATCCTCTTGGGTATGAATACTAACTATTAATACTATAGTAACTACTACATATAGTAAAGATGTTCTAAAAATAGGGTAGGGAATATTGCATACATATAACACAACATAAAAGTTCTCTAGCTTTTTTCTTATTCCCAAAGGTCGACAACTGTTTGTGCATTGATCAGTATGGTCTACTAATATCCAAGCAGATGTGGGGTGTGTCAATTTTTTTACAGTCCTCCGCCCCTACTGCCAAAAACTTACCGAATTTCGTTTCTCCCAACATCTGCTTGGAGATTACGAACTGCCGTTTCCAGCTGACCACAATGTACCCTTCAGTTGACCCATGACGAGCCGCCGTGGACATAGCTGGTAAATTATTATTATCACGTTCCCAGGATAACTCGCATATCGTTCCCCGGATTAAGACAAGGGCGCGTCGAAACGCAAACGAATTATGACCAAGGTCAGAGGGTGATCACAGCGACACGCTTCGAACTAAGAAAAGAAAATAAATTCACAAACCCAAAGGATTAAAAAGTTTCTCCCCAAGGTATCCATTGAACAAAATGCTCAATAAAAGTCGAGGAGTTGAGATGGTTTATTTGAACTAAATCTGCCACTTTTTTGTGTAACCGTCTCGTCCTACACATATCACAGTTTTACATTACCAAACATAGAAGACAGCTTTTACAGTGTCACAGAGAAATACGTGCTTCAAATGTTGTTACAAGGTCCACCCTTGCTCTTCTGCTTGACGTGTGTATACATCGGTTCTAACTCCGTCCATCCCCTGGCACTCGGCCTGGTTTTCCCTGTCGGAAACAGCCTGACATGTTGTTACGAAGATCAATCAATCACTAGCCGTGTGTTGGTATTTAATCAACCTAATGAGTGTGACTGACTATTATCAACACAGGGCGCTGCAGTTTTGTTTTCAAAGCTGTTTTATTGTCTTCTTATTCTGGGCGAGGGAGAAAAATAATACGACGACTGTTCGATCGAAACAGACTCAGCAAGACTGCTCTATGTCAAATTTGGGAGTGGAAATAGCGGGATGGCACCAAAGTTCCTGTTTCCTCTCTCTTTTCGCTTTCTTGCTTACTTTCAGCACGTCAGTTAAAAGTTGGCTGGATATAGTCAAGGAAAAACCCTTGGTATAGTGAATCCATCAGCCTTTGCAGTCACGTGATCACGATGTATGAAGTGGCCGCCATGTTGGTGGTTAAATACGCATTGTCACGTGGTAGATGTTTGAACGTTCTAAAATGCTCACTGTCCTCAAATTTAACAGGATTTGCCTCTTCGCATTTACTCAGAATCACATGAGGAATATTTCCACTTTTCCAAACTTTTCCAACCGCGGTCGCCATCTTGGATCTGCTCACTCAACCAACATGGCGGCGGCGGCCATTTTGTATTGGAAAATTGTGTCATTTGCAATCAAACGATCTGTTGTGTGAATTGACAGAATCGCACCCGCCAGGATGAGCTGAACGACCGGGAGAGTTATGGCCACTGGAAGCTGCAAGGGGAGGAGCAGCTGATGAGGCAGCGGCAGGCGGGCGGCTTCCCTTACGTCATCCTCCGCCTACCTGACGTGGTCGGACCGCGCGACTCCACGCACAGGTGGTGGATGTACCAGCTGTGGGTCAGATTCGCGCACCTGGTGCCGCTACACCTGCCGTTCAGCGTCAGGTACACCGACTTCAGCCTGGTACAGGTGAGGGAAGATGTCATTTTCAGACGATAGATTGGAAGCTTGAAGTATGTGTATACGTCAACGATGGTCATCACTTTCAGATGATAGCCTGGTCCATTTGAGGGAAAATATACGTCATTTTCAGACGACAGCTTAGTACAGCCTATACAGGAAAATACGTATAGTTACGTCGACGTCGTTTTCAGACGATAAATTGGTACAGCTGAGGTGATAAAACGTTCGTCATTTTCAGACGAAAGCCCACAAGACAGGGGAAACCATGCCATATATATCATTTGCAGATGGCAAATTTCAGGAAGATTGTTGGATAGTTTAGAGGGCACATCCTATTTGAAATTTAGAAATTGTATTTTCCAATGACAAAGACCTCCCGTGTGTCTTTTTGGCCCTAGATCAGGAAAAAGCTTTCGATAGGGTGGACCATGAGTTCATGGTCAGCATCCTGGAAAAGTTGGGCTTCGGTCCTGTGTTCAAGAGCTGGATTGCCACCCTCTATAATGGGGCGTCCAGCAATGTGTTAGTTAATGGTAACCTCTCAGCGTCTATCCCTGTCGAAAGAGGAGTGAGGCAGGGATGTCCCCTTTCCCCTCTCCTCTATGTTCTATGTATAGAACCCTTGGCGGCTGCAATCAGAGTAGACCCCCATATAAAGGGAGTTCACCTCCCGGGTGGTGCTGGAAAAGAGACGAAAATTGTACAGTATGCGGACGACAACACTATCGTTTTGTCAGACGATGAGTCCATCGTTCGCACTTTCCACTTGATCTCGAAGTTTGAATCAGGGACGGGCTCCAAGCTCAACATGCAGAAGACCGAAGCATTGTGGCTTGGTAGCTGGAGGGGAAGGTCTGACAAACCTTTCCCTATCAAGAGATGGGACTCGACTTACCTGAAGTTGCTCGGTACCCCGGTGGGTAACATCCCTCTGGCAGAGGAGGCATGGCTACAGCGGTTCACCAAGTTTAAGGCCAGACTAGATCAATGGCGAGGAAGAAAACTAACCCTGATGGGAAAGTCTTTGATTGTGAACTCGCTAGCGTCAGCCACTCTGTGGTACACGGCCTCTGTATATCCTCTACCGGCGAATGTTCGAAGCCGGATAGAGAAGGAGATGTTTAACTTCATGTGGGATGGGAAAACAGAACTGGTAAAGAGACAAACCCTTCTCCTACCCAAAGACCAGGGTGGAGTTGGGCTGGTCTCTGTCCCCTTGAAGGCAAAGGCCTTAATGTTGAAGACCCTGAAGAAGGTTTTCACTGATCCGCAACACCCGTGCTCCTGCTTCTCCAAGTACTGGTTGGGCCTTGAACTGAGACGAATAGATTCACAGACTTGGAGTAATTCGGCCCCCACTCGATGGACCGGCCGCCCCACTACGTGGCCATTGCCCAGTATCTCAGGGACATCACCGTCCCAGTAGACTGGACAGCCTGTACCACTGCCTCTCTGTACAACACCCTTCTGGAACAGGCAAGCTCCCCGCCTAGATGTGTACAGTCTAACCCGCAGATCGAATGGGACAAAGTCTGGAAGGTCATTCACAATCCGCTGATCTTCAAGTGGGACAGGATGATTGCGTGGCACACTGCCCACAATTCCTTGAAGACGAAGTTAAAACTGAACTCCTGGCGGGGTTACTTGGCCAGTAGTGCTTGCCCTAGGCGGGGTTGCTCACAACCAGAGAGTGTGGCACATCTCTTCTGGGAATGTGCAGTGGTGGCTGAAGTTTGGATGTGGATGGAAGCCTTTATCCACAAACACTTGCACAGACACTTCCATGTATCCAAAACGTTTGCCCTGTGGGGCCTTGTCCCACAAGGTGTCCCGGCTCAGACACGCAAAGTATTGGAAGTTCTGAGTTCTATGGCCAAGTCCACTATCTGGCGTTCCCGGTGTCAGGCCGTTTTTGAGAGTAAGCACTTGACGGGAGCTGAAGTGTCCAAGTCCCTTGCATCATCAATGAGAGACAGGTTAAACCTAGAGTTCTCTCGCCTGGAGCCCGGAGACTTTTACAGTATTTGGGCAGAGGGACACTCCTGGGTTGATGTTGACGCCACGCATGTGACGTTAAAGTTCTAGTGTCCTTGAGTAAACCTAGCCTTTCTGCTAGGTCAAAATAGTAAAACCCAAAAAAATGATAAAATAGAAAATACAAAAAAACGTAGAGTAGCTTTTTGATTTGGATTTGTATTGTGGCGATTGTGTCAGAGATATGTAAGGCCGAGGTGGAGGTGTATACCCGCCTCGCGCCGAATTGTTTGAACCAGTATGATACGTCATGTATATAACATACTTTTAAAAATTTTTGTCGTTTTGCTTTTTTTTGACCTATACAAAGCTTCGTTTGCAATTCTGCCTTACTTTGACTAAGGTCTCTTACTTGACATCTAGGTCGTATCTAGTATGTTTACTGTTCAGTTAATGATACATATGTGAAGCACTCCAAATTTATCTAAGACAGGTTTAGAAATGGCATGGTTCAAGGTTTCAGTCGGTTTGCCCGCACACGTGAACTTCTCACCCGGCCATTTCGGGTGGACGCTCTCTGTCACTGTCAAAGGGAAGTGAAGGGTCTTAATTTGGAGGTCAACAGGTCGGGACTCTACCAGGCTTCAGAGGCGGCTGGAAGGATTAGTAATTGGCCAGATGGACAGATAACATGCCTGGGAGTTAGTCCGATAAGGGAGTACAGTTTGCTGCTGCCAGGAGCGGTCTATTTGGCCAATTTATACTATTTGCAGCCACTTCCCAAAGCCTGGGCGAGGCTTAAGTCGTGCAGGTCCTTATGAAATCATAACAATGCCGTCTCTTTTACACGGCGATTTGATTGGTTCTTGTTGTAAAACAATCAAGGACACAACGCCCCCTCCCCCTCCGTGATCTTTACTGGTTCGTCCCTGTTACTGTACCTAAATTGAATTTAGCTGATAACGACCTTGTGCGGAACGCTGCGGCCGTTAAAGTGAACGCGAAATTGGGGCTGACCTGTGGCAGATAGCTGGGCGACAGTCGCCCTGCTGAGGCCACCGACTCAGAAAGCTGTCGTTACCGCGGCCGGGGGGCGATATTGGCCTCAAACTTCACACCACGGGGAACCTATAACTGTATTATAGTCAAGTCATTCCAAGAATTCCAACCCGGGGCTCGGCTGGACAGGTTTGCTGGAACTAAAAACAAAATAGTTATAAAAATTAATCATGGGCACTACTTGTGCATATTCTAGATATCATTTGTTTTCGTTCACAAACGTGATCTGAACCCTAACAGCGTCGAGGTTGTAGACCAGGAGGGTTTTTTTTTGTGGCGGATCAGACGATCGACGGTCAGAAGAGCTGGCACCGTACGTAATGTTTTCTGTGCATCTTTTCTACACTGAAACGGGGCAACTAGGAAACGTCGCGCCATTCCATCATAACATCTGCTTGGAGATTAGAGACCTATTGAACATTGATGTGAGACTTGAGACGGTTTTTTCCACTACATGCGAAGCACGTATTGTTCCGAAATATTGAGCCCGAGTTGAAGAAAGAAGTCTTTAATTTTGCAACCTACAGTTCGCCCTAAGGCAAGTGATGGATGAATTGTTTAATTTATTGCGCTGAGGTTTAATACAGTTGAGATTCCTGCCCAGTGGGACTCCAGTCTCCCGCTGTCTGGTGCCAATCTGAGTCAGGTAGCCGCACCGGCGTCTGACAAATTAGAGTCACGGGGATCCGATGTACGGTGCGCGGGTTAGAATTATTACGGTACTTGTGGTAGCTTAGCCAGCAGGTCAGGCATGATGAAGGGATAGATCGTAAGAGAGTGATGCAGTGCGGACAAAAGACGGAGGGGTGGAAAAAGACGGATGGAATGACGGACGACGACCGCGGAGGGGCAGGGCGGGAAAAGGACGGACGGACGGATGGAAGGAGGCCTCGAGGACGAATATGGCGGACTATGGAGAGACAGGGGACGGAAGAAATACGGACGGAAGACGGAGGAACTTAACCTGGGTGCCAAACCCATAGCACACTGGACACAAAGTATCTCAGTGAGCACCAGGATATTTTGTCCAGTGTGCTATGGGTTTGGCACCCAGGCTAAGAGGAACTACGTGCGGTGGAGGGACAGAAGACTGTTGGAAGGAAGGAGGGATGGAGAGACGAACGGGCGGGTTGATGGTCGAAGGACAGAAGACGCGCGGAGGGTCGGGGGGGCCAAAGTACGGACGGAAGATTTTTGGGCCCGAATTCGAAAAGAAAATACACGTGCATTGTTTCACATATACCAACGTTTTGGTGACTGTGTGTCGTCTTTGACAAGAAAAGGAGAAGGCTTTAGTTATTTTTGGCAGAATTTAAAGACAAACCGTTCCACGGACGGTTTCAAGGTTTCCGTCAGTCATTGGGGAATCAGTCTTCGAGGAATCCTTATGTCCTCGGGCCAAGATCTGAGACAGTCTCTGCTTCAAAAAAAGAAGGGGGTCTTGGGAAAGGTCCTAAATCCTCTTCACGAGGTCCCCGGAGTGTTTTTAAGGTTTATCTGAAGACTGTGTTGAATGAATGAAGTATTGTGTTACGGGAAACCAGAACCAGCGTGAACTAACAACGCTACACAGGAGGCTGGAGTCCTTCAGAGAAATCAGTAGACAGATTAGACGTGTGTCTGAACTTGGGGAGCGGCATTGTCCTCCAGGGCGCCAAGGATACTTACCCCCACTTGTCATTTTCACAGTGGGACGTACAAGTAGGTGTCCTGCAGTTTGAAAAAAAACCGGGGGATCGCCCCTGGCCTATTCACGGTAGCAAACTTTCACTGTCTTAGGAAAATGAACGTGTTCTCGTAACTTAATCTTCACAAGGCAGCAAGAAGGGGAAGGGGAGCAAAGACAAATACTTTGATAATGTTCATAATAAGCTAGTTCCTCGAAAACCGTGAACATAAAAATGCCACGAGAAAAAGAATCAGGAATTACAGTATCTGATAAACGACGAGGATTTAAGTATACATATTAAGAACAGGTGCAGGTTTGAACGCAGCGGGGTTTCAACAATGTGGTCATGTGGGACAACCTGCGGTGTAAAGAACAATGTCACTTTTATCACGGACAAGAATCAATTTAACAACATGACATTTCTTCCTAAGGCGATGTGCCAAGATTAACGGCTTTAGTGTTTTTAGAGGTTAAAGGAGCTTATGAGTCTTGGCAAGGTTTCTGTGGATCTGAATCAAGACGTAACCAAGATGCTATCAGTTCAGTCATCATGGTTTTGAAAAATGGAAGCACCAAATCGTTTAGTATGTTTAGGTCCTAGGAATCTAGCATTGCATGTGTTGAACGATTCATAGTATGAAGAAATATCGGTTTACATAAACATGTATTTATAACTAACGTGTTATGGAATGTAGGTTGACATCTCAAAGCAACAGAGATATGCGTTCAGAATGGCCGAAAACAAGGTACACGTACATGCAAGGTCAATCTCTGTGTCGAGTTCAAGCGTAAGATAGAATTCTCTCTGGACTCTTCCCGTCTGTTTATTAGCCCCAGACAGCTTGTTTCTAAAAATAGTGCCGACCAGGCACGGCCTTGTCAACTCTTCAGCCACCTGGTTGACTTCGAGATTTTACCCATTTTTCTTGTAGTCAGACAGCCAAATGTCAAGGTGGCGATGTAGGGTGGCTGACTCAGAATCGAAAGGTTCTGGGTTCGAATCCCTTGCGGGACCCTGTGATGTGCCCTTGGAAAAGGCCCTTTACACCTATTTCTTCACTTGAATCATGTGCAAATGAGTACCTAGCTTTGGTTAGGGACGTCTTCTCGGATAGGATGTAAAGTGGAGGTCCCGTGTTTGAGGAGAGCCGCACATCAAGCACGAAAAGATCCCACCATACTTATCGAAAAGCCCATGTGAGCATCGCTGTGAGTGGTTCAAACCTTACAGTCCGGTGTCAAGTTTGGCATCTTAACGAGGTGATAGTCACCTGTTATGTCAAATGTGATAAATCTTGATACAAAGATGTTTACGTGTCATAAAAAAGGGACAGCAAATGTTACAATTTCCCTCCCAACATCTGCTTGGAGATTACCCGGCTGGCTATGTTGCTGAACGGTCGTCAGGCCTCAAGTTCTGGCGGGAAAAGTACTGAAATGGCCCACAGAGAGAAGCCAAATGTTTTCACAGACAATATTTGTGTTTCCGCAGATGACATTTGTGTTTCCGCAGATGACATTTGGTCTTGACATTCAACTCCCATCATGTAGTCGTAATGACCTTGCTACTTGACCTCTGTACCCCAGGGTCACCCTAGGTCAACTCACACGGGCAATCAAACATCCTTTAACAAGGTTGTTAGAAGAACTCCCGTGTTAGCTTTTCTTTTTATCTCTAGCTGGTTCTACATATTTGAAGAAAGGAGTTAGGAAGACAGGGAGGGCTCTGATGTGTGTATACATGTATTTGGAGGTACAGTAGTTAGTTCAAGGACGTTCAAGTTCAAGATACAACGTCCATGAAATTTCCCCTGCTGTCTAGTGTCGACTCCCGTTGGCTTGGCCCATCCCTCCCAGTGCATGCCTGTGTGTGGCCGGTCCCGTCAAACGAAGCGTCTGGTTTACCTTTCAAACAAATGTCACGCACAAAGACTTGACTTTCAGCGGTTGAAGAAAGAATCAAACTACTGTTATTGTTTCCCAGCCGTGTTTATTGCAAGGATTGGAAGACGGCTAAGTGCTTTTGGGTTTCCGTGACCTTCAGGTTCGCCCCCATATGCATGTCCTGTGTCTGACCTTATGACCTCCTGTCATTCTGCCTGTCAACATTTCCTCCACACACGTGCTGTAAACCTTTCAAGTTCATCCCATTTCCTGTGTTCACACAATTCCATTGTGTCTAACATTTTTACTTTCCATTCAGCCTGTCAATTTTCCTCCACCCACCTTCTATCAACCTACTCTGTCCAGACTAACATACACAGACAAACATACACACAAACCCACAGCTCAGCTCCGTCACCTAGTACTTTTGTACCTATAAGTATACTACAAACAGTAAACTTCTGTTTTCCTTCTCCACAGGTAGACGACGTCGCCAAGGTTATCCTGGACATCCTGTTCTCCAACTCCTCCGTCTACGACCAGGCCTATAACCTCGCCTTTAAGGAGGCCTTCACTCTCAACTCCTTCTTAACGTCCGTGGCGAAGGAGCTCGGCGTCTCGGACGTCAAGTTTGACCAGCGGAACGCCGGGGTCCACTTCTACCCCGAGTCCCGGGCGGGAATTCTGGACACAGCCAAGGCGGAGGCCATGTTGGGGTGGAAGCCCACGCCTTGGGAAAAGGCGCTGCACAGAAACTGCGTGTTCTACGAGTACGTGATGACGCAGAGGACGTTTAAAACGTGCGAGTTGAAACACTTGGTGAAGACGTTCGCGTCGGATGTGGACAGTAGCGGCACGAAGGCGTTTTTACACATGTTGAGGGATATGTACGATATAGAGACAAGAGAGCTGTTCTGGTACCACCAGGAGTTATAAAACACAACCTCGGTGGCAATGGACAGGGAGAAAATGCAAGTAGTTTGGAGAGGTTTGTAGGTATGTTGTAGCAGTAGGGTGGGTCGTCCGTTGTTTATGTATGGGCGATGATTTTAAATGTGCTCGCAGCAATAAAACATGGTTGTATCCGTTGTATTTCTCTGTAATTGGGCATGTGGTGTGACAGTCCTAATGGACTGATAGCCATCGAAAATTTGGAGGTCAGTATCCTAATCCTTCCAACGTGTCACTGATGAAAGAATCTTCTAGTAACTATAGTCAGACTAGATTATTAGACCAGGGATTTAGACATTTTTACGATACGTTGTTACCAGTTGTTAAGTGATCACACACATTTTACATACACTATTACTGTTCTCAATCTGCAAAATATAAACCTTCACGGAGTCGCCTATGGACACTTGTTTATTTATTAATCCAGGGTCAAATATACTCAGGTAACTAGACCTGTTCATCAGGTATCCCTGTTGGTCAATTATCACTACACAAAAATTTGGATTTACCATTGGAAGTCAGTGCCAGTTGTAAACAATACTGGACTTCACAATGACAGTACATAAAAGTCATGTCCGGTAATTTCATTACCATTTTTACGTCCGAAATCTTGCTTGCGCTGCGTGTGACTTTTGAACTTTGGCCTGTGTCCCTTCAATGTCGTCTCTAGTCGGGTGATGTTTGAATAGGTCTGGCAAAAGCACGGAGTTGAGATCACTAAAATGTTGACACCACTACAGTTGCTCTACTGTACTTGTCTGGCTGGTATTTCCGCCATTTCAGGCTTGTTGTTATTGTTGCACCACTGTGCACCTGTCCTGTACTACCTGTGCACGGGGATTCTGCTGGGTTCAGTAGGATACTGTCTGGTTCTGTACTTGGCGCCGAAGAGCCGGGTGAACGGGAACGGCAAAGCTGTCTTCATTACAGGTAGGACTACAGGTGATTCCAACACCTACAGCCATAAGCATGTACGTCATTGATTACTCATTTCTGGAAATTTGCCAAGGTATAGTCATAACATTGACCTGCTTAAATGTTTGACTTTCTTACAACAGGTTGTGACAGTGGTTTCGGATTTGGACTTGCCAAACGCCTGGACTCGCTGGGCTTCACGGTGTTTGCCGGCTGTCTGCTGGCAGACAGTGGTGGGGAGGGGTCGAAGAAGCTCCGGGCGGAGTGCTCGAGCAGGCTGAGTACTGTTCAGATAGACGTGACTGATGATGGACAGGTGAAGGCCGCTGTACAACAGGTCAAAGATCGACTGCCGACAGGGTCAAAGGGTGAGAACTTTATCATGACTTATCGTGACGGTATACCATAAACATGACAGCTAAAGTTCGTAGCCAATATGTCATATACATATCACACGTTCCTCATTCTATAACGTTTTATCCTGATTCCTATCTTACATTTTCGCCCTTTCTCTGCCTCAAGGGGACTGGCCATAATAACTTCTAGTCGGTGTTTGATCAAAAGAAGAAACAATTGACAGAACACGGATGTAATGTGTTTGTCTTCCTGAGGAAGCACAACGATGAGCTTATTTTCAACATATCCCAACAGGCCTCTACGCACTGGTGAACAATGCTGGAGTCTGGCAGCCGGGAGAGATAGAGTGGGTCAGCCTCGCCGCCTACCGACGTGTGATGGAAGTGAACACTTTTGGTACTGTGCGGGTCACCAAGGCGTTCTTGCCTCTGATTCGTCGGGAGAAAGGTAAGGGTGTTCTCATTTAGTTACTCTGTTGTATCAACACACGTGCATAGACAAAGTGCACAGGCGAGTTTCCAAACAGCACATAGAGGCATTTTTGGTTAGAATACTACACTGTTTTAGGGACTGTACGATATTTACCGGGGAGGGGGGGCCGGTCGTCCGGGGGTAGCGTAAAAAATTTTTTCCTAGGCCCTCCCCCCAGGTCAAAAAAATTTTTCCTAGGCCCTCCCCCCGGCTCAAAAAATTTTTCCTAGGCCCTTCCCCCGGCGTGAATCATAGGGAGTGAAATTTCGTATGGGGAGGACGAGATTTTGATTGAAAATTTTCCCCGCATGAAGCGCCGAAGGCGCGAGCCATCGCGCCACAGGCGCCACTAGAGCCCGAGTAGGCCCGGCTTTTTTGGGGAGGGGGGGGGCATGTCCCCCCCGGAAAAAATTTTGAATTTCAACCCATGTTTTGCATGCTGAGGGGCAAATTTGGCAGCACAAATTTCGCTGGTACATCGAGCTATAAATTTAAAGTCAGTAACGTTATTAAAGGTCAGTCAGTGTAATCGAAATAATCCTCTATCTAGCCTACCTTTCGTCCACGAACTTCTTCCGCGCGCGTCCATTTTATTACAAACAGGGAAACAATATTGCCAAGTTACGTGTTGTTTTCAATTTACTTTTGCGGGACATAGATATAAATGTTTAAATAGTCCTTGGTTTAAGAAAAATACCAAATTAATCCGTCGACATCCGACATCCACGCCGAGAAGTTCGAGCGAGTTGCGAGGCGGGACCAGCGGGACCTTTGCCGACGCACGCACGCACACCACTGGGAAGGGTGCGTTGAACGGCGAAAATTAATTTTCAAAATCTTCAGACAAGCCTTCCCTACATTTTTGATCGGTATCGTTTCGATCGCTGCGATAATTTGACGCGATTTTAATCCATTTAATTTGGCTGTGTAGTCCAGTTTCGCCGATTCTGGCGAAAATGCAAGATTTTGAAGGGGACTGTGGGAGATTTGGGCGAATACATTATAATAATAGGGATGGATATTATTGGAACGTAAAATTCTGCCGATTCCAATGACTGGCAAATCGCTACGATATGTATGGGACAGACGTTTAATCATGTTTTGAAAGTGTATAAAAACGTTGTAGAGTTAAAGGGATCTTGGAAAAATTTTTTACCTAGGCCCTCCCCCAAATTAAAGTATTTTTTCCTAGGCCCTCCCCCCGGCTCAATTTTTTTTCCTAGGCCCTCCCCCTCAGACGACCGGCCCTCCCCCCCCCCGGTAAATATCGTACAGTCCCTTATAGATGCTGTTTTCTTTGTTAGGCCGCGTTGTGAACATCTCCAGTGTGGGCGGGCTACACGCAGGCCCGATGGCGGGCGCCTACAGCATGACCAAGGCGGCCCTGGAATTCTTCTCGGACGCTTTAAGGTACATGTACTGCCATAAATGCTGTCATGCGTATTGTTCAACACTCAAGAATTACAGCATTACGATTATATTATAATGTTCATAGATTATACCGTAAAATGACATCTTCTGTCGCCATTTTAAGTGCGAGACGAAAGCGCCAAAAAAAAACGACTAATCTCAGAAGTTGTTCCCAGGCTGGTCAGTCCCATATGTTTTTGTTCTTATAAAAAGTATAACTTCTCCAACATACATGTATCCCCAAACACAGACATGAAATGCACAAGTGGGGTGTCAAAGTCGTCATTGTGGAGCCAGCGAGCTTTGCGCGGGCTACAGATATCGTCTTGCCTGCCGTCTTCAATAAGTTCGTTGAGGTACGGAGTCTGCATCATTCTAATTTTGCCAGCGGTTTAGGAAATGAGGCAGTCATTAAGGAAACGTTAGGTTTGAAAATAAAAGTTACCTTTAAAGAAAGCAGAATTTGATCAGTTCAAGCTCCAAGTTAACCTACTACGCCATTTCGTTGCAAACCGTATATTGTTGATTGCACAGAATTTGCGGAGCAACATTGAAGACGTTGTTATGGAAGATTACGGCAAGGAGTACTTTGACTTCAAGATGGAACAACTGAGGAGCTACGCCCATGGCGACCTGGCGGCGACGGATCCAACGCCAGTCATAGATGTGAGTAAACTACATCTCACTGTGGGACTACTACTCTCCAAGCAGAGGCTTGGGTTTGGGATTATTTTTGGCGTGTTTCTAGGCTTTTTATCGGGTTTTCCTTTTTTGCACTGATATCTTCTTTTACTGGGTAAAAAGATATCGGTCAAAAAAAGATCTCGCTGATCGCTGTGACACCTGTATAACAAACCTTGGACGTAACACACCAGCTTATGGAAACACTGCGATAACTTGCACAACACTAATTATAACTAGCCAACATTTTTACTGCATCCACGACACCCTTTATTCATGCTCTATATTTGTCTTTTCTATCTTTAATAGCTGTTGACTAGTAATAAGCAGTCTTGTTGACATGGACTTCACAGGTTATGGCAGACGCCGTCACCCTGACCACCCTTACACATCGATACTTGGTGGGGGCGAGTTTTGAGGACTACTTGACTTGGATGTGGCTGGGCTACTTCCCCTCCAAGTGGACTGGATCCACACTGCTCCTTGAGGGCGGCCCCATACCAGCCATGCTGCAGAAAATTAACTAGAGCATTTCTTCGACTTCTGATCATGAATATTTCTTTTATTTTGTGGCCTCAAACATATATCGCATGATTGATCACTTTCCATCCACTCTGTGCTTAAGCTCACCATCAAAATGCTTCGATCTTGAAGGACTGCCTAGAACTCTACTTCACGGAGAATTGTCGCCTATGGACACTTGTTTATGTTGCTGACAGGTTATGGAAACGGATATTAGGAGGAAAGATCATAGCGTTCTCCGACCCTGATGGCCCAATGTCTCTGTCTGACTGCTGGTGTTTAGTGTCTGAGAACATCTTTCCTCCCACACAGCCATGTGTTTTTTCTATCATTCAAAAAGAAATAAAATTGAAAGAAAACATGCCTATAAAGATAAATACCTGTACTTCATGAAATCGCACTGTATATTAGAAGTCTTTGTTTATTCATTTGGTTAAGTTTGTGGTTTTGTGTTTACTCTAAATCTACATGTATTTACCAAGTTGACCACATGAACATAAAGGGCAGGTGACCTGCAGTTTCTCTTGAAAACCCTAGGTGCCGCAAGTGATCCACCATTTTCAGAGATAGCAAATCATGGCATGGATCACAACTCTGTGCAAGGTGATGAGGACACACCACTCTTTGCCTTTGGGGGTGGTCCATTTTGCATCACATCTGTGCTAAGGGTTGTATCCCCAGTAGGGACAGTCCATTATGCATGACCTGCTGGACGCCCTTCAGAAGGTGGAGTCTGGCAAACATCACAGGCAACAGGTGAACCCTCGGCTCCTGAAAAATAGATATTTTGGTTTAAAGTTACACAATGTACAGTGCAGTTTCTCAGGGAAAATGGCATTTTGTTTATTTCTTGAGTTCATGGTTTTGTATTCACTCTAAATGTATTCACCAAGTACTGCATAAGATAAAGGACAAGTTACATGTAGTTCCTCTTCCACACACTAGGTGGTGTACGTGATCCAACATTTTCATTGATAGAACAGTATAACATGTAATATTTGCCAACAGAATCAATATTTTCCAATAAGGCCATACTGATCCAATTATATGGATGACATCCAAAACGCGCCCCAAAACTGACGCGAAAAAAAATTGTGACAAAAAAAGTTGCCTTCATTATGAAATCTAAGTTGTCAGGAAGGTTGAACAAGTAAATGAATACACAAGGCAAAGTGACTAAAAGAATTTTGTTTTTGGGACCAAATCCTCTAGAGAATCACTTTTTTTACCCTCTACAAAAATGAACTGGTCCAAATCTGAAGTCAGCGTGGGTGCAGAGTATAGGACAAGGGTCACTGAGATGGTTAATGGAGGCAAAGGTCAACAGTTGGTACCATTCATCACCACAGTAGGGGGGATCCAGCAATACACTGAGATGTTCACAGTGTTAAAAGTATGCAGTTGAAACAGTACAGTAGTAGTACAGTAGTAAGGCAGAGCATATGTTTGCAGTGATGAGTTTGCAAAAATTGCAGACATAAAACAACTGCAAATATTTCACAATTTACAGTACTGGTGCCCTTAGATGACTCCATGTATTGACTAGGACAACTCCTACTAAGAAATTAAGTCCCCACAAACTTATAACCTTATAAGTCACTGTCCCATGAGTTAGGAGGTGAGAGAAGTGGTGTATGTAACAGTCACTGTGAACTCAAACCTGGCAGGGTTCTGAAATAACCCTCACTTGTAGTAAATCTTATACAAGAGTGAATGAAAAACAAGGCCTGAAGTTTGAAAATAAGTTTTAAAACTGCTGTAAAAAGATGTTCACGGTTTACTTTGTAGATCAGGAATTAGAGGTCTACATTACAGGAACCCAGGATTGCATGAATGACCAGGTCTAATAATATCCCTAACTTAAGTCTGAAATCTGTGACTTCTTTTATGCAAATGTATTTGGGTCACGGAAGAATCTATGTTCAAAGTAGAATACAAATGGTATAAACACAGTCTCCCATCCAAAAGAAGTTATGTATATTTTTGTTTTACAAAATTAAAGAGGCCCCAAGTAATCTGCATATTGATGTCATCCATAAAATTCAGACTCTGTGGCCTCAGCTTCGAAGCCTAACCGGGTGAAAACATCAAATCAATGATCATAATTAAACGCCAATACTGCTGAAGCATTCTGCCAAGTAGGCTTAACTCCCAACACATTTTTACAACGTGTGTTCATTTCCTTAGTAAGACAAAACACATGTCCTGCCCCAGTGGCTTACCCACTGCCCTGATTCAACAATTTTCTACTTGGCAACATACTGTTTAACCTGATTCAAACTGCAGAAAATTACTGCAGTACTGAGTCTTTAAAACTGGCACGATGGCCTGGTGGGTATAGAGTGCTCACTTGACATTTGAGAGGTCGCGGGTTAGCCAAGCTGGGTCATGTGCCAAAGACTAAAAAAATGCTACATACTGCTTTGTCACATTTCCCCCTGGATCACATAATTAAGGTAACAGACTTTCATATAGCTTTAACAGGAAATTGAAGACACGAAATGTGATAACCTTTTCTGGGACCTTTCAACTATAACTTCCTGGTGTAAATAACTATGCAAACAATAAAAACACAGACAGTACCGACAACAAGACCTCCATACACAAAACTAAATGTTTCACGATGTACAGTTAGTTGTTTTGAGGTGAATTTGAGAAGCAGGTAATGTAACACTTACCAACAGTACTCTCACCCTCCTGTAGTAAGAGCTCAGGTCTCGACTCAGGGCAATCAGGAAACTGCACACCTGGCAAAGAAAGGTTCACAAAATGTGTGAACATTAGCAATAGTGCAGTCAGGATCAAGGTCCTGGGTTCTAATCCCGGACAGATCATACTAACTATTGACCATATAAAAATGGAACATTCTCTGCATTCACCAGTAGACTAGCCCCCTGCAGCAGTGCTTGCACAACTGTGTGGTCCAAGGACTATAGAAACAAAGATGGGGAGTGCCCTATACACTGAAAAGGATTTTGAAAGAGATGAGAGGTTCACCTTAAGAGCAATGAGTTATAATCAAAATTCTTAAAGATATTTCTTCAACAACTCTTTGTGTCATTTAAGATGTATTTTACTATATTAAAATCTTTCAAGCTGTTTCTTGATAAGTTAGATAAGTTAGCAAAACCAATTAGCTGAAAGATCTCACTGACACTGGTATACGTAGATGTATGCATGGGTAATTTAGCACAATGAACATCAACACCATTAAGGACCCATATAGGGCATTACGTGCTTCTGAAGGATCTAAAGTTCTTAACCTTAATATGTCACCCCCTGTGTTTACCAGACTGGGTAAATATAGAATAAATCAAAGTTCCAATTAACCCACTTAGCAAGTTAAATAACTCCTGTATGGAGGTCATTAATCTTTACGACCATCATTATTAGGTCGTTAGTTCAGGAATGCAGGCTGGTTCGAAATACCTAATCTCCATGCAAGTCATGTTTTCTGTGTGAGGCTTATAATATGTTATATTGCAGACACTAGGTGGCCCTGCGCACAAGTTATCATTTTTTAAACATTGACCAAACATCAAACGAAAACCATGAAATATCTGAATTTCGCACAAGTGCAATACGTTCTGCCAACATTGTGTCAATAAGTAGCATGAGAAATTAAAGTCATTTGTTTATCTATGTTACCTGATGAGTGAGTATCTTAGCCCTTGTGTTGCTGATGTCCCCTACAGTCCCCTGTACCAGGTCAGGATATGGCAGGAGGAAGTTAAACAGGAGTTCCCACTCCTCCTGTAGGACATGGGTTAATAACTTATATTCAGCTTGGTCTTAAAGGCCCTCAATGTTACATCAACTTTAACATGGAATAAACAAAATAAAAAATTCACAAATTTTTTTCCAAGGGAAGAAAATACTAGTAGCCTGATGAAGCTAGGTGGCTCAAGGCAACACATGCGAAAGGACTGAGTTTGTAAGAGGGAGTGAGTAAATGAGTCTTCAACAAAAGAATGTGAGACTCACCTCTTCCTTAAGAAGTGAGAAGTCCACACTACTGATGTCTGGAAGATCTGGATACACACCTGAGGTGGGGACATGTAGGCAGGTGAAAAAGTTTTTGAAAAAGTGATCTCGAATCAATTCAGTTCACTGAAGAGCTACTCTTCTACTGGTTGTGACAGAGGAGACAGATGCTACATACAGTATTTACAGGTTCATTGTGCTGGGAAATTACTGTAGCTCTTTTTGACATGCACAATGAACAGTGGACCATGGCTTGACGTCCCGTCCTTAGGACTGCGACCCTTTCCAGTAGCGTGCATGTCAAGTGAACAACAACTATGATTCAAACTCAGCAAAGTAGTGGATTCTACAAACACAGGTACTCCCAACCTAAATAATGTATCAAAATGAACAGGTTCTATACCCGCTTGTACATCCTCTTGGTAGTGTTTGAAGAGTGTGGCCAGCCGTGCACAGTTGTACAGGATAAACGCCCCTCCCTTGTTATCCTGTGGTCCCTCCCCACTCTCCTTAATGGACAGGTCCAGCTTAGCCTGTACAACAGTGTTTGGAATAGTAGATACTTCACGGTGAAATGTCCTTGAATTTGAAATTGAATGAAATTGTAATCAGTGGCATATCAGTTTTTATGGAAAAGTCTTCCTGGACTCACAATGTTCTGACATGAAGTGAAGAGAAGTTCAAACTTGATGGCAGCGGCTGTCATGGCAGTGATGGTGGAGTCCCAACCTGGACCTGTCAGTCAACACAACTGGTGTTAGGGTAAAGTACAGAGACTTTTGGTCTAGCTACTTATGTCCTTACTCAATTTCCGTATATGTAGGCCAACATACAGTATACATGTATTTCTGACTTTTTCATGGTACTGTTTATGTTCTTAGTTTTTACAGTCACTTCTGTACCACAAACTCATTACAACTAACAATGCAAATGCCGACTTTGTTTTTTTTTCTGCACCTGCCACCACCATGAACATATATAGTTCTGTGAACACCTCCATTTTGCTACCGTTAACATAAAGTGAATTACAGTAAACATGGATCTCGCACACTTTGTAATGTTTACAAAGTTTCATGTAGATATCTGATAATCATTATAGTTTATCATGAACATTTTACCTTCTACTGTATCCCCATACTTCAGGACAGAAGCCTCCTTCATCTGGGCATGTCTTAGTCTGAGGGAAATCAAACATGTCATCTAAGTCTTGTATTACTAACAACAAGGGAAATACAATGTAACATGTAGTATTGACCATATGCCATTTCACACTTCAACTTCAAGTAAAAAAAAAATTATGTATCTTGAAAACAAAAACACCTTCCCTCAACTTAGATATATTCTGACTATTCCTACTATACCTCCAGAAGTCCTGTGCTGTCAGCTGTTCTGATGTAGAGGTAGATTTTCTGGCTGCTACAGAGTTATACACTAAATGGGTCTGCGGACAAAAGAAACATTTGTGTTTAAAGTTACAAATATGACGCACGTAAATGACCAGCAAATTCTATACAATTTAAAAATACATTATTGTATATACAATTCCACAGTGTTACCAGTGCACTAGTGGTACATGTATTTCTGCCCTGTACAACATATGGTGTAGAACAGACTTCTATTTCAATCTCAAACTAAAGATACAGAGAACTAGAGTTCAGGATTTTGTGATCTATAGGCTGACTGACCTGACAGGTCGTGACCTCATTTAGGTTCAACATCCTCCAGGTCATGTCCACCTGTTGTGCATGGAAGGCCCTCCCATGGCTGGCCACGTGCACCACAACAGGTGCCTGCTGGAATGATTAAAAAAATGACAAAGAAAGCAAAGGTTACCAAATGAAGCAAAACCTTTATTGAATCAGAAGGATACATTTTACAATCATATGTTTACTAGTAACTGATAGATTTCACATAAATGTAAAGAGGTTCAAAAATCTAATTTGGAGGAAAATTGCCTTATTTAATTACCTTGGTCTTCACAGAGTCCAACTTTAAAATCGTTTGTAGAGAAATGACTTCTTCCATCAGCAGGGTGGGCTGATTTCCCTCTAGAACTGAGAAACAGAAAAGAAACACGAAATCCAACACCTTGTGTTTTCAATGCTGTTTCTAAATAAACTGCAAACTTAAATCCATCTAAGATACAAGCAGAAATGGCCAAAGGTTAAACTGGCACCATCATAAACGTACCAGTTACTGTCTTCAGGTTTGGATCATACCCATCTTTACCTAATGAAACCAGGAAAAAACAATTAGTCATTTAGACTTAGAGTTAACATTTTAGAAAGAAACGCCTTCTCTGTGATTTTCATACATTGGTACTTTTCTTCCCTACTATTGCATAAATTCACTCAAAGGAACAAAATGATATCATGATTGTACAAATTCAATAAGAATTTTCTGTCTATTTTTCACACCTCCACTTACCAGTTTGTAAAGAACCATCCTCAATGAATTTCTTCAGATCTAACATGACAAACTTTTCCTTTCCAGTCAGTCCATCACTAGGATCAGAAACACTTTCCCTCTCTTGTTTTGAACAGTCCTTTGTATCTTCCTCATTGTTTGATGACAAATGTCTTCTGTCCTCTGAGTCTGATATTCTGTATTTAGACTCTGCTGTTGCCTGTAGAATCTGTTCCCTTGTCCCTGAGTCAGACTCAGAGTCCACAGCTGATGACTGGACACCTTCACACAGGATGTCCCAAAATTCTTCATGTTCACCTTGCACGTTGGATTTCACTTTGTGTACTTCAAACCTGAAAGAAATCTGCATTAATGACTGGCAACACTCTTGTAGGACTGACTGAATTTAACCCAGGAACCCAGTAATTTAAATGATGTAAAATTCAACTTTTATATATCTTTATATATGATCTTCAGGGGTTTTTCTAGAAAAAATTAGTATGAGGGAGCAGATCGCAAGCATGGCGAAGGAGCAAAGTGACCGAAGGGGGATTTTTTTTTTACGAGTGTTGTACATATGTATTGTTTTTACATCTTTACTGGAAAAAGATCATTTTGAAAAAGACTAAAATGGTCTGTTAGTAGCCACATACAGAGTAGGGTTCAATTTGAAAATTGATATGAGGGAGCTGGCTGGTAGCATGAGGGAGCAGCTCCCTTATTCCCCTGTTTAGAAAAAAACCTGATCTTACCTCTTCCTTCATAACAAGTCAATGAAAAGCAGCCTGCACTGGCTGATTTCAGCTTCTCGTGAATAAAGAATGTTTCAGACAAATAGCAACCTCATAAACCATGGAGTGAGCAATCCTAAATCCTTCACCAGTTCATGTCTTACCCATTAGCCTTGAGTAGTGCTGCCACATGTGACGCTATCAACGCTCCTCTCAGCTGTACCAAACTCTGCCCACTGTCAGCTTTACCACAAGTCCTGTAGTTCTGTGGTACAAGATTCACTACAGCCACATTGTCACCACTGTTCTCCATAGGCCCATAGTTTGACTTCAGTTTTTCCACGTTGGAAAGAACCTTGTGGAACGTCTGTGGCCGGGAAAGCTTGAGACAGAGTCGACCATCATCTGATATACTGAGCTGCTGTACGGGCAAACTTAAGCTCAACAGGGACTCAGCCAGTTCTTTTGAAGACAGGAAACTTTCAAGGATCTGAAACAAAGGAATGTAGTTCTTAGAATTATGTATTATGGAATACTTCCTTCTAGGTATTGAAATACTGTATTAATTTGGGTGGTTTGTGTCTTTTTATGCAGAGTAGGTTGAGAATTAGCCGTGGACGACTCTGTAACCCTTTTTGCATGATAATGCCGGGTTCATAGTCGTGGAAAGCACCATAGGCCAAAACCAACCTTTGCCGTGCCGGGCCTCATGCAACGGGCCGGCCCCGGTTTTTGGTGTCGCTGGCTTCCTAACGCACTCCCCTGCCGGGCCGGGGGGATAAGACCCTAAACAAACGCAGCATTTAACCACAACACGGCCTCGGAGCACGTAACTCCATACAAATCATCGGCGATCGACGCCATATTGAATGCAGGAATCGGTCCGCAAACAGGCCGGGCCCTGAGTTTACGACAGTTATTTTCAACTCTCCAACGTTCAAGCTGCAAGTATGTGACGTAATTTGTCGTAAACTCAGGGTCCGGCCTGTTTTGCGGACCGATTCCTGCATTCAATATGGCGTCGATCGCCGATGATTTGTATGGAGTTACGTGCTCCGAGGCCGTGTTGTGGTTAAATGCTGCGTTTGTTTAGGGTCTTATCCCCCCGGCCCGGCAGGGGAGTGCATTAGGAAGCCAGCGACACCAAAAAACCGGGGCCGGCCCGTTGCATGAGGCCCGGCACGGCAAAGGTTGGTTTTGGCCTATGGTGCTTTCCACGACTATGAACCCGGCATTATCATGCAAAAAGGGTTACAGAGTCGTCCACGGCTAGTTGAGAATGTGCACGTAGGGGAGATTGACAGGCAAAATGACAAGTCAAAAGGTCGGACTCAGGAGATGAGGTGGATGTGAAGGTCTCAGAATCTCACTGGGAGCCAGCAGAAATTGGTCTTGGTCACAAAATTATTTAATATTTGCACATGTTGTGTCGACTTTGGAAAATATATTGTCTACAATGGGCAAAATTCTGATGCAACGTTGACAAAGCAACCAACAAAAACCCTAACAAAAAAGAAACGTGTTGCGTAGACACCGTACGTTTTGCCGACGTGCTTTTATTACCTTCTTACAGGATTAATAACATTAATAAGATAAACAAATTCCAAGACACCGCCCCTTTCCGCCCCCCTCCCCACCCAACACTCACCGCGCGGTCCGGAAAAGCCGCCTTGACGAAAACAGACGGGACGACGAAATCTCCATTCCCGAGGTTTGTGCTCTGTTTCAGTACCACGGACTGTCCTGGCCTGCTTAAATCTTTACACTGCGCTCTGGTTTGGAGAAAATCTTGAAATTCCGCCGAAAAACGTTTCAGCACACATTCGCTGGCAGCCATCTTGGTTTACCCTTTGACCTCGCCAGTACCCAGCAAGCTGTTCGCGAAAAGTAACAAAGTTTGATGCAAAGTGCAGCAACGTCAGTGAGTGAGTGAGTCAGTGTGTGTGCGTGTGTGTGTGTCTGTCTGTCTGTATGTGTGAGCATGTGTGTGTAATGTTATGCATGTGCGTTTGTGTGAATATGTAAGTGTGTGTGTGTTATTGTGTGCTTCCTATAATATGCAACCAGATTTTGTAGAACTTGCAAATATTTTCCCGACAGTCCTCTAGAGCTCTATTCTAACAGGAGCGTAGGGCCGGCCTTTCGGTCGAAATTCAGAATTACTAACCGCTAGACAACATCTCTGTAGTACACTGTTCAGTCGCGCAATGTCCACGTCATTATCCCTATAACAGTGTTTATCTAACCCCGCTGTTTAAACACCGTTATTATCGTAATGACGCGTCTATTTCCTCCATTAAGCAGCGTGTTCTTATCAGTTTATGGTCTCTTCAACCGTTTCAAACCTTATCTTTCCGTCCGGCAGTTAAACTTACAAATACGTAATGTGCCTTTTCCCCATGGTACGGCGGTTTCATTCGTTGTAAATTCAACGTCTTGTAATCGAAAATGCAGTAGTTGAAGTGTTAGATCCTTGTCGTTGGTTGTATTTGTTACAGCCTACTTGAAAGGAAAATCCTACGTACGATTAACAGATACCACAGTAAACCTACAAAACACTCAAGTATATACATTTGTACGATCGTTCCATTTACTAGTTTGATAATCTCCAAGCAGATCGTGTAAATTTGGTGGCTGCAAGACGTATACGTATCAAATTAGCAGGGCAGTATACGTATGTTGGCTGGCGTAAAAAAAAGATACCAGACAAAAAGGAAAACCCGTGGGATGGAGAAAACTATTTAAAAAAAGGAAAAAGCCGAAGTCTAAACCTCTGCTTGTGTGGTACTATTATGACAAAATTTGGCTACTGCAGCATGTTTGCGACTGTTTACAGCGAGCCCAAAACAGTGTGATTATGTTTGACCATAACCACCATAACGTGTTTACGGTTGATATATGATATCTCTCCGATCAAAACAACAGGCACTTAGTACTAAGACCTTTGAAACGCTGCTATCAAAAATTTCTGAGTACTATGGCAGTAAACAAATTCGGGCACGTAAACCCTGTAAACAGCACTGTGGGTCTGAAAGGAATTTATTGAGAGCTAAAGCCCGACCAGGTCACACTTGCCGTACGATTGTCGCACGATCGCAAACTGAGGGCATTAATTATTGGGGTAGCCGTGCACACTATATAGAGTCACAACACAGGCCAAAGAACCTGCTACATGTTGGCCAGTCTCACATCTGTCATTTACTACCATGTGATGGATGGCCTCAACTGGATTGTCCGTGGTGCTGATTTGTGGCATCCTGACATATGTTCATCTTTTGTGCTCTCCTTGCCGCGCTTGTAGCTAGTAACCCACTTCTTCATAGTTCAATAAGAAGGGGAGTCATCACCAAGTGTCTTGACCATGTATTCATGGATGTCCTTAGGAGACATCCTTTTTTACCGATTCACTTGATCACAGCACACGCTTCTGTTGCGGTCATTTTGTGATTTGCCCTCACCCGCCCCATTTTCACGGGGCGTCACGTGCTAATTAATGAATATAAATATTTGAATTTTTGTGTGCAGTGATGTAAGACGTCATAGTATACAGTTATACCAAAGAATAGAAGTTTGACCTGTATTTTCTAGGTGAGGCCGAGAACTTTTTGAACACCCCTCGTAGCTGCTGTCTTGTTACGGAATACGCTGTCTTAGATCCTATGAGGCGGTTATTTCTGCTTGAAAATTCGACGACATGAAAACCGCATGACTACCTACAAATATTAGTACATCGTTATCTAGATGTAGTTCTCTCAATGCATCAAATCAGAGAGAAAACGCTGACAGGTGCCTTTATACCTCTTAATTAATGCCTGGTACAGTGTCTCCGAAGTATTATTTATCTTGCAAAACACTACGCCGCGAGTGCCCCCCTCCCACCTTAAGATGCTACCTTCTTCGTCCATCGTTTTTGTCAATCACTTTTGACAGCTTGACAACAAGGTTTGCAGTTTTGGCGGGAAGTTTCGTGTACAACTAATTTGCTAATTTGACGAAGAACCGCGTTATGTACTGAGTGTTGATGTGTTTAGCTCTCCAATATTTACAGAACAAGAAAACCAGAACCATGTGATCAATCTTGAAGAAAACAGCGATTTGTGATGTTAGCTAAAGGAAGAATCGCTTGTAGATTACCGAAAAGTCACGTGTGTGCTAGAGTGTCAAGGGCCAGGCTCCCCACTGTTTTCCGTCGTTTTACGCCATCTTGATTTCACAAATTTGCAGAAGAACGGTAAAGTACCGGGGAGCGTGAGGTTAAACACACAGCGTTATCCTCTCTCCGCTAGACCAAACAAGTCGCAGAAAGCAAAGGTTGGGAGGCACCGTGGATTCAAACACGTACACACAAGGAACATGTCCAAAACTAAAAGATACACGTTCTTGGGTCAAATTCTACTTGAGAACATCGAACTTTGACGTGAAAAAAAATTAACGCAAAGACGTGTGTTCTTTCCTGTCAAAAGTCCGATGTACAAATAAAAGATAAAAACACTAAAAATTACCTGCTGGACTTGTGGGAAAATACACTGAACAAATTAGTATAAGAGTGGCGTGCGTAATTCAATTAACTCTGGAGATCAAACTTACATATTTGTGGTACCATCCCAGCTAATGTTGACCAAATAAGGAAAGCAAAGTTTGCGAGTTGTGTGTGAATTGGGCAAACAAGGTTTACATGTACAGTAGTCGACCGAGCAAAGAAAACATTTCATGGCGTTGTATTCGTAGGAGAATTTTTGATACCACAAAAGGTGTAGGTTCTCGTCAGGATTTATAAAGATGAAATTCTTGCAAAAAGATTTATAATTTGTAAAGTGGAAGATGCTATTTTGACGTATATCGTCGCACGCTTTTGATGTAAAATTTTCACGCCGACTCCTATCGCAGACAAGGACCTAAGATCTTTTTCAGTAAAAAATATATGTGAATTGTACGACATACGCACGGCAATCCCAAGATTACTTTCGGGGTCGTACAACGAAAGTGACCAGGCTCAGTGTATATGAAACCTCAAGGGCCATCTATGTTGTTACCGTCATTTTGCAAATAACCAAGTCGCCCTTGTCTCAAGCACAGTGCGGGAGGTCGAGTACTACGTCCAATGTTTGTTCGCCACAAATTTACCTGACGACAAGTATTTCCTAATGTCCAGATGTATTTTGGCAGCCTTATTTACTGTTTTTCGATTATGAAACGTACCTCAATCTATCACCCCGTGTTTGCGGTTTGTAATGTGTTCATTTCCTCACGTTCCAGTGACAGGCTTTGTTCTAAATCGGCGCGATAATCTGGGGTTAGTCACGTCAGGCTTGTCGCGCTCTGTTTTTCCCGCCAATTCTGCCTGTCAGCTTGTCTGTCGTCTGCAAACTTCGCGGGCTCACGCGTGATGCGGGCCACACTGTGGATGTACACTCGCCTCCGCATCACTTCACATCAATACGGCCTGAACCGCTCGGACAACAAAAATTCGCTGATCCCGAAACTTTTGCTGATTGAAAATGTGTTTTCGTGGACGCTAATGTTACGGTAGATTAACCACGGGAAGTGAACAAATGTCACTTGGTCAGTGGAATTTGTTTGTGGCGTTGGCCACGCAGGGCACATGCAGGTACTGCACATTATGTAACCCCACATGCGGCCTTGAACTCTTTCATTCATTCACTCTTTCATTCATTCACTCTTTCCTTCATATATCTGCCAATCTAAGCTTTCATTTCTTCACTTGTTCTCGCTCGTTTTGGTTCATAACTTGGTCAAAGGTTGTGTCAACATTTGCTATTTTAGCGAATATACACGTAACATGACACATGATTTGGAAATTAATAAAAAAAAGTAGATTTTGACACCCCCACCCTCCCCAACCGACATCTGACGTTAGAGACATTGACTCCTCTAGAAGTGCACGAACCTTTCCATCTTTTTTTTTCATTCTCCCTCTCTGGCATCCTTACGTTTTTAATTGTCCCCTTCTTTCTTTCATCCCTCTTCCTTCGAAACACCGTCTCTCCATCCTTTTCCTTTCTTTGTCTCTTTCTTTTTCTTTGTCTCTTTCTTTCGTTCTCTTTCTTCCTTTTCCGCCAATGGTTATTTTAGCACCCATCATTAGGTGCCACAGCTAACGAATATTTGCTGTCACCGCCTACCCTACCCCCTCAACATAACAGCCGTACCCCCCCCCCAACATGATAATAACTTTATTCCACAGGGTACAAAGTATGGCATCTACTAATACATAACTACACTTTCGTATGGGATAGGTATGAACTTTTACAATCATTGAAGGAATTTCTAATATCTATACATAATCCCTATGTATACCATGCAGGGGTTTTCACATGTCATTGTGTATGTAAGTTTGCTTTTCAACTTCATAGAGGTAAATGCTGGCATAGAAGCTGATAGTCTAGTATATAGTGAATTACGTATATCAATATTTAGTTAGGACATACAATCAAAAAGTGATATTCGTCCTCAATTTGCTCTGGACCAAAAGGACACCTTGTGACCCACATCTGGGTTCCCCGTCACCCCCAGACCGTCACGTTCTCCCAACACCCCGGGACCCCCTCCACCTTATCACTGTCGGCGACATCAAACGGCGCAGGTGAGTTTAATAAGTGGCCAGGTACGAGCTGCCATGAGAAGAACCAATATTGTCAGACTCTCCACGGGTCCGGGGCTGTCCACACCCGGGAACAATGGGCGCTCGTCAGAGCCGTGTGTTTACATATCGCGACATGAGGCACTGGGTTAAATAACGTCAGGGACTAGGGCAAGGCGGGGACAGGGTTAGCCTGGGGGTGACAGACTGTTGCCAGAGGTAATATACAGGCTTGC